GTTATCAAACGTGCCCTTCTGCTAAAATTTCCATTGAAAAAATCGCCAATCATGGTTGAACCGAGATTAGACGACCCGACATCGGCAAATGGGAGAGAAAATATCAGTTTTGTCCCCCGTTTTATTTCTCTGAGTCTTTTCAAAGTGAAATTATTTGAATTATTTGGCTATACAAAAGATTAAAAAAAATTAAAGTGAAATTATCAGAAATATTTTAGACATTTGTGTCGCCCAAACTAAAATTCGGCATTTACCACAAGTTGGAGATAAAAAGCAGAAAGAAGTGTTAAACCAGCAACCCATGTAATCAAAATTCACCAAACGACATAGTAATTAAGCAAAAGAAAAAGCAAGATAATGCAGAAAAGAAGGTAATTATAATGCCACAACTGGGTAGGGCCCATAAAAAATATTCCCCAAATCTTGGGTTATCAAGTTTTTAAATCACAAACTAACTGGTGCTCAACAGACACTGAAGGGACAAAAGGATCATGGAGTACGAGCGAAAAAATGGGTTAGAAAAAAATATTATATTTTTTTATATTTGATTAATGGTATAATTATGTCCCTTTTCAACTGTAATTATAGGCCGTTAATCATTCATTAATCATAAAATATAACAAATCACAAGCATGAAGCAACTGCCCTTGCAAATTAAGTGAAGGGCATGAGGCATGCCAACAACAGCCAAGAGTGCAGTGCTAGCTTGCATATTCCACGGCTACTCTCGACAATAAATCTTGTCATATATATCAGATTGTCTAAATTTTAGTTTAATTAATATACATGGTGGTGAATTGCTTTCACAAGAATAAATTGTGATTGAAAGTTTGTTTGGATCCCAAGTTATTTTAATTACCATATCGCGAGCTGGTCGATTGTACTGGTTCAATTACATATGAGTTATTTGTCAATAAATAAGATACTTTACTTATATCAACAGCTAACAAAATTCGTTATGCAGGTTTGCCCATGAGAGTGGAACTCGCTCCTGTTATGACCACTTCGTAGGGCTGGCCATTGGTTAGTTTCGGTTATAATTGGTAATCGAACGGTCGGTTATCGGTTAACCGAAATGCCGACCCCCTTACCAACAACCAACTGAAATAGACTTCGGTTTCTCGGTTAATCGAACAGCCTTCAAGACCAAAACCATCTCGTCCAACCCTCGAAAATCGACCGAATTTTGGTTACTGGTTAGCGGACACCGACGGATCCAGGGGGTGGCCACCCCAGGCCCCGGCCCAGCCCTCCTCTGAATTCGTAGTTACTATAGTCCTTATGAAATTTTTGATTTTAGACATTCGACCCAGTGTTATTCTATGATAAGATTGGGTTTAACTAGAAAAATTATCAAGTTGAACATATTCAAATCACTACTCTAAATTTAGGCTAGAAATTTTAGCCCCAAAGGTTATGCGTCTTAAAAAAACAATGAAACATAAAATTCTAAAAAGTTTAAAACGTAAAAGACTAAAAGAAATATGAGGTTTGTTCCCTTAAAAATTTACGAAAGCAGTTGGTGTGCATGGATGGACACACAATGCAAATTGATTAGTCGATTGATTTATCTAGTGTTGATGCTGCTCGTTTCAACAGCTACTACGAAGAGAACTTTTTCAACAATGAAACAAGTGAGAACTGATTTGCTCAACAAAATGAGCGATGAATTTCTCGCCGATTGCTCAAGTATTTTATTTGAAACATTGTATACTATTGGTATGGATGTAGACTTCATTATTGATGCATTCCCTAAATTAAAATACAGTCGTGTACAATTTACATTACAAAAAACTATAATCATTATATTTTTTTACTGTTTTAATTTTCTAATGAAATGCGACCCAGTGCTCTTCTGTGTTTTGGATCCGCCGCTGTTAGTGGATAACCGGCCGGTTATCAGTTTAACCGTCCGGTTAACCGGTAACCGAAACTCCACCCTACCACTTCGATGGATTACTCGTGAATTATGATGGGCACTTCATCAATATTGTTGTGTTAACTATGAATACTCTGATAATAAAAAGGGGATTACTTGTCCAATAATTTATAATAATGACGTGGGATTTGTAGGGGGAGGCAAACTTTGAACAATATCAAACTAGGGATTGAAGGAGAAGTGTATTTTATAATATGGAGAGAGAGGGATGGCAGAATAGATTCCATATGTATATATACAATACACAGAAGAATCCAGTCAACTAAGTTATGATAAGTGGCGAGCAGTTTTGGAATCTCGATCATATAGGAGTTTGAAGACTGAACGACACACAGAATCTGAACCAAAGATCATGAAAGAGATATCAATGTTTTGTTGAAGCAGGAGGGAATATATTGGACCTGAACAGTGAACTGAAACAGAACTGAACTTGAAAAAACCGACGACAAGCTAAAAAAGACTTGCAGTTGCAGCAAATATGTCCCCCTCATATTAAACAATATCAAAGATTCGTATCAAAGAAATTGGAATATGGGGCAGGGGAAATAATTAACCAAGTGAACTTCTTAGTAAAAGAATAAGAGCAGACTCAACTCCTTTCCTTTCTAATTAAAACACATTTGCGGATCTCGAATTTAAAGTTGTTTGAGCCTAACTGAGTGCAGAAGGGAGGCTCGGGAAAATGGATCAAGGAAAGTAAGCAGTGAAGGAATAATCATTTATGGAGAGATTCAGGAGATTACGAAGAGGGTTGAGAGAGAAATAGCCTTAGAGAGAGAGAAGTTGCTGATTTTAGAGATAGAGTCTGAAAAATCCGATCCCCTCACCCACCGGATTTAATGCCTTATTTATAGGCTACATGGTGGTGGGTGAGTTACATGGTGACCTGTCATAGCGACATGACTACTGACATGTCAGAGGACTAGGTCATATCGCTACCTAGGACAAGTACACTTAGCCTTTCATTATACCTAGGACCATGATGTGACCACTAAGACCATGATGTGACTACCCGATAAGTGGGATACGACGCCGCTTCTCATTCAAGTCGCTTTAGTCGTTGCTGGGCTCGGGCTCCCCTTGGGCGCGCTGGCGCTGAAGCGCCCGTCCCTAGGTATTCGCGCTCGCCTATGCTCTTGTTCGCGCCGCTGTCGGTGCGCCCGTCTCTTGGTGTCGGTATTTCTTTAGCGCGGCGGGATCCGAGTCACATGCCCAACAATTGCCCCCCATCAGGGGGTGTTCCGCGAACGCCGCTTGTTTTACTTCCGCGCGATTGACTCGGTCCGCGCGATCTTCGGGCGCGTTTGATTCTGATTCCTGCGCGATCTTCCTGCGTTCAGAATTGGTGTTTTTCTCTTTCTCTCTTTTTTTGTTGTCTGCGCGTGACGCCTTCTGATAAGCTTGGACCTCTGAGGATGTGTTATGCCCCCTGGTGTTGTTTAGGGCTGGCGCTCCTTCAGATTTCCTTCGGTTTTCGCGCGATCGGCCTAGTTGCGCGTGACGCTTTCTACTTTGTTTTTTTTCTCCGCGGGTGTACCATGCCCCCCAGGCGATGCGCGGAGCTTGCAACGTCATCGACTAGTACCTACTGCCTATGCCTATGCTAGGTGTCCACTTGTCCTTGTGTGGTTGGCTTGTTTTGGCGGCCGTTTTGAATTTCGAAAAACTCTGACGGTTGCGTATCCCGAAGTAACTTTAACTGTTCAGCTTCCCTCCCTCGGTTATAAATAGCTAACCATAAGGGGAACTGGGTTTTATTCTGCCATTTTGTCTCTTTCGATTTTATTCTCTGTTCTCTCTACGTCGGGTGTGTTCGAGAGTCCTCTCCTTCTTCTACAACCTTTCTTCTCAATCTGTTGTTGCCAAACTCTGGAGTTTGCTATGGCTAACATCAACGAGATCGGGGTCGTACAAGACGAAGAAGATAATCTCTCCTCCCCCTCACATGTTTCTACTGATCCTTCGTTGGATCTTGATGATTCTGGGCACGGGGGCGACGGCGGTGATGGTAGTGGTGGGGTTCCGGCGACGCCGTCATACGACGTCGATTCGGACCCGGGCAGCCGTGGCTCATTAGATGCGGAGGCTACGGTGTCCGGTAACGTGCCGTCCAGCGCCGGTGCCCGTGGCGTGTTGATTATTAGGCGCGACCGTGCGGGTGCGTCTGGGAGCGCGAATCGTGATGCGCGGGAAGAGTCTGACACGCCGCCAGAGCAGCGTTGCGTCGCGCGCGTGTCCGAGGCGATAAGCCGCCTAGGGTTCCTCGGTGTGGGCGCGGCGTATACTATAATCTATTGGTCTACTCAGGGGGCCCGATCACGCGTCGATCTACAGGAGGCGGGAAGTGACGGAGATCGTGCGCGGATTGGGGTTGCCCCCCCCCCCCATTGGGAGTATGCGATTCCCTCAACGCGGAGCACCGTTGGTAATTGTCCCGCCGGGTGGATCGGGGTGTACACCAAATACTGGGTGATGGGGTTCAAATTCCCCATTGACCCGTTGTTGTGCGCGATCTACAGGCGGCTCAATTGCTCTGTGGGTCGTCTTTCCCCCTCTGTCATTATGCACGCGAGTTGCCTCCGCCTCGCGTGCAAGAGGCTCAATATCGCGCCGACCTATGGTTTGTTCAGCGCGATGTACAAAATCAAGGAGCCAACAAAGAGGAGAGACTGTCTCTCCATCAGGAGGCGCGACAATAGGCCCGACGGTTTTGTGTACGGGTCTCCAAAGCTGAAGAAGACTTGGTTCGAGCGCTTCTTCTATGTTAAGCCCACGGCGGGGGAGTGGGCGAGTGAGTTCATAGAGGAACCCACTGTGTGGAAGAAGGGTAGCATCAAAGGCTACGAGCGCGACCTGGGCAAATATGACAGGCTCGACGCTGAGTATGAAGCGTGCCTGGACCAGAAGTTCAACTTGTACCTGGGCGGGGTCCGCGAAGCTTGTTTTGCGGAGCTTTTTGATGATGGTTAGTTACGTCTCTTTCCTTATGCATTCGATTATATTAACCGCTCTCTTACAATTTATTGGCGCAAGTGTTGACTTTTCAAGCTTGGTCAGCATGATGTCTGTTGACGACGTGGTGGCGAAAGCTCCGCGGGCCTCGAGGGGCGAGAGGAAGAAGAGGAAGGAAACTGCGCCATCTGAGCGCTCAAAGAAGAAGGAAGTTGCACCGTCTGAGCGCGTGAAGAGGAAGGAAGTTGGGCAGCCTTCGGCGGCAGAGAATCCCCGCAAGGTGGCTCAAGTGGATACCCAACCGGCGCGGGTGGTTGAGCAAGCGGCTCAAACTGAGCGGGCAGCTGAGCGGGTGACTGAGAGAGCGGGTCAACAGTTGCCGCTTGTGATCATGGATGGGGATGCGTCCGGCGCACGCGTTGATGCGTCTCAGCGTCCGGAGAAGTCGGCGGCCGGGAGTTTGTCTGGTGCGACGCTTCAACAGAGGCTGCCCGAGATGGCCTCTGCCATCAACTAATTCCGCGACGTGCGGATTCATACCGGCGCTGCCTGCAACAGCGTAGCAGCAAACACCGCGCTTCGCGCGCTGGGGACCCACCTGAGCATCCCTGCGCGGATGGAGAAGTCCGATCCGCTGCAAGACCTGGCGCAGATTCATTTTGCGGTAAGGTTATTTTTTATCGCTCGTCTTCGTGTGATCAGTTTTGCTATATCTTTTTATCTCTTTTTTTTTTTTGCTAAGTCTTGGGACGTTTGCGCATGTAGGGTTTGCTGGCGGCCTTCCGGGCCCAAAAGGAGCGCACGGTGCAGTGCGCAAAGATGAAGGACGACGAGGCGAAGATCGTCCAACTGGAGGGGAAGGTCGTTGGGGCGAATAGCCGTGCCGACGTGGCGACCAATAAGGCCAACGAGGCTATGGAGGAACTCGGCGTCCTGCAGAGCAAGTTGGCTGCCGACGTGGAGGCGGCCAAAGAGCAAGTGCGGGCTGAGGAGCGTGCCTCCATACGCGCGCAGCTGGAGGCCTCCTACGCCGAGAAGTTGAAGCAGGATCGCGAGGAGCTGCAGAAGAAGAAGGATGACCTGGTGCGCCTTCATCAAGTCGCGAAAGCGGTAGCTGTCCGCGCGGCCGAAGTCGCGGCCGTTCGTCAGTTCAAGTCTTCCCCATCCTTCGGGAAGATTTTGGCGGACGCCATGACTAAGGCCGTGATCGCGGTCGGGAAGAAGGTTCGGCCAGAGAACCCGGGGGTCCGTTGGGACACTCGCGAGATGGTTCACCACGTCAAGGTGTGGATTGGCGAGAAGCGGCCCTTGAAATCTGACTCTGAGTCGGGGGAGGAGGAGGAGGAGGAGTGACCGGAAGGGGAAAAGGCTGAGGGCGCGAGTGGAGGGGGCGCGAGTGGAGGAGGTGCGGAAGCTGACGACGACGAGGAAGAGAATGTTCAGCCCTTGCTGCGACGCAAGCAGAGCAGAGAGGATGTTTAGTCTGATACTGCTGGTGCTTAAGTGTCATCGCGTTGGGGCATTTTCCTTTCAGTCTGATGTTGTTGTTCTTGTTTTCCTCTTTCTTCTTTCTTTTTATCAAGTGTAGTTGCGACAATTTGTTGCTCCCGCTTAATTGAATCCAAAGAGTACTTATTCACGGCGTTTGTTTGTTCCTTTGAATTGAGTGAGCGCGAATAGTGCTGGACTATTGCTAATGTTTTGTTCTTGCGAACTGAATGGGCGCGAATAGTGTTGGACTATTGCTAATGTTTTGTTCTTGGGAACTGAATGGACGCGAATAGTGCTGGACTATTGCTAATGTTTTGTTCTTGCGAACTGAATGGGCGCGAATAGTGCTGGACTATTGCTAATTTTTTGTTCTTGTGAACTGAGTGAGCGCGAGTAGTGGTGGAAAGTCACTTCTTTCCATTTCTTTGCGGCAAAGCGCGATAGCATGAAAAATACATATTTAAGTTGCTCGGTGATATTTCCTTAGGTTTTGCGCGTTCCACGTCCTCTGTATCTTGTTGCCCCCCAACTCGCTGAGTTTGAAGGTGTTGGCGCCGACCACTTCGCGGATTAGGTATGGACCCTCCCACACTGAGGCGAGCTTTCCGTGCTTGGGGTCGGGGCGAAAGTTGCGCCGTAGCACTTGGTCTCCGATGATCAACTTATGTGGAACGAGCTTCGCGTTATGGTACTTGGCTACCTGCTCTTTCATTGCGGCCAGCTTGATTGCTGCCAACTCGCGCCTTTCCTGAGACAAATCCAGCTCCAGCAAACGCGCTTCATCGTTGGTTTCTTCGCTGTACTTCGTGATTCGATAGGTCGGGGCCGTTGTCTCTATGGGAATTACTGCATCTGTGCCATATGTAAGGGCGAAAGGAGTTTCGCCCGTTGCCACTTTGTATGTGGTGCGGTGCGCCCACAGCACAGTGTTGAGTTCGTCGGTCCAATTAACTTTGGCGTCGTTCAAGCGGGTGTGCAGGCCGTGCAGAATTGCTTTGTTGGCGGATTCCGCTTGGCCTTTGGCCTGGGGATAAGCTACCGATGCGAACCTTGCGATGGTTCCCACCTGGTCGCAGAAGTCTATCACTTCTGCGCAGTCAAACTGCTTCCCATGGTCAAAGATGAGCGCGTTTGGGACCCCGAAGCGCGACAAGATGTTGTTCTTTAGGAAGCGCGTCACCTGTTGTGCCGTTATCGAGGCTAGTGCTTCAGCTTCGATCCATTTGATGAAGTAGTCTACGGCCACAATAATGTATTTGCGCTTCCCTTTTGCTGTTGGGAAGGGGCCCAAGAGATCGACTCCCCATTGCGCAAAAGGCCATGGACTCAGGTTGGCTTGGAGCTCGGTGGATGGGAGGTGGTGCTGCCGCACGTTGACTTGGCACTGGTCCGCGTATTTCTTTGTGTCTTTTTTTATTCGCGGCCAGTAGTATCCGTGCAGCAAAATGGTGCGCTCCATGCTGCGTGGACCGGCGTGCATTGCGCACAACCCCTCATGTATGTCGCGCACCATGTCACGCGCCTCCTCTTGTCCGATGCACTTTAGGTAGACACCCGAGAACGACCGCCGGTAAAGTTCTCTTTCAATGAGTGTGCATCGGGCCGCTTTTTGCCTCAACGTCCATGCCTCTTTCGCGTCCTCCGGTATCGTACCCTCTTGTAGGTACCGCACAATTGGGGCTCTCCAGTCCTCATCGCTCATGAGTTGGGTGGTGTTAATCGCCGCTTCTTGACGACTTTCTTCCTCTTCCTTTTGTACCGATACGAGTCGTCTTGAAGTCGGTGGCGGTCGCTAGCTTGGATAGCGCGTCAGCGTGCACGTTTTCCTCTCTCGGTATTTGCACGTAAGTTACCGCCTCGAAGGTGGCTGCTCGCAGCTTGACGCGCTCCATGTAATGCGCTAGGGTGACTTCCTTCGCGTCGAAGGCTCCGTTCAGTTGGTTGACTGCTAGCGAGGAGTCTGAAAGTACCCTTATTGTTCTTGCGCCCAACTCGTGGGCGGCGGTCATTCCTGCCAGGATGGCTTCGTATTCAGCCGCGTTATTCGTCTTCCACGCTCTAAATGTGATTGCTATTTCGTGTACGACACCTGTTGGTGTGCGCACGACGACCCCAGCGCCAGCACCGTGTTTACTGGCCGCTCCGTCGACATAAACTTTCCATACTCCCTCTGGTGTTGTTTCGAGGGTGACTCCTTCGGCGATGAAGTCTGCTAGAATCTGGGCTTTTATTGCTGGTCTCGGCGCATATTGAATATCGTACTCTGAGAGTTCGACCGCCCATTTCACCATGCGCCCTGACACTTCCATCGAAGTTAGGATTTTCTTTAGTGGGAGATTGGTCAGGACAGTGATCTGGTGCGCTTGGAAATAGGGACGCAACTTTTGCGACGCGATCACTAGTGCCAGGGCTGCTTTCTCTATTGGGGAGTACCTTGTTTCCGCGCTGACTAGCGTGCGTGAAGTGTAATACATAGGTTGCTCGGTATTAACATTTCTTCTGGATATCAGGACTGCGCTCACAGCTCTCGTCGACACGGCCAGATAAAGGAATAATTTTTCATTAAGCTTGGGAGCTGTCAACACAGGGGGGATACAAGATATGCCTTCAGGTCTTGGAAGGCTGCTTCACACTCTTTGGTCCATGCAAACTTTGTGCCGCTTTTGAGTGTCTTGAAAAACGGCGCGCACTTGTCGGCTGATCTTGGGATGAATCTCCCAAGCGCTGCTATTTCCCCATTGAGGGATTGGATTTCCAATGCGCTCCTTGGTGACCGTAGTTGTTGGACTGCCGTGATTTGTTTTGGGTCAACTTCGATGCCGCGCTTGGTTATCATGAACCCCAAAAACTTCCCTGCTTCGGCTCCAAAGATGCACTTAAGTGGGTTCAAGCGGAGGCTGTGTTTGCGAAGCGCCTCGAACGTCTCTCGCAGGTCCTCCAGATGCGAGTTGACAGCCTTGGTCTTGACGATGAGGTCATCCACATACGCCTCGATGTTCCGACCCCTCTGTTGAGAGAACACCGAATCGATCATCCTTTGATATGTCGCGCCTGCGTTCTTCAGTCCGAACGGCATTCCGACGAAACAGAAGTTTCCGAAGGGAGTCATGAACGCCGTCTTTTCTTCGTCCTCGCGCGACATCGGAATTTGGTGGTACCCTGAGAACATGTCCAAGAAGGACAGTGTCTCGTGGTCGGCGGTGGCGTCTATCAGTTGGTCAATGCGCGGCAATGGGTAAGGGTCTCCCGGGCATACCTTGTTGATTGTTGTGTAGTCGACGCACATCCGCCAAGCCACCGAAGATTTTTTTACCAGGACCACGTTTGCCAACCACTTCGGGTATTTGACCGGGCGGATCAACCCTGCCGCCAACAGTCGCGCCACCTCCTCTTCGATGGCCTTCAGTTTGTCGCCAGTGAAGCCGCGTCGCGCTTGTTGCCTCGGAGTCGCGCTGGGCGGGACTGCGAGGCAATGTTGGGCTACATGCCTTGGTACCCCCGGCATGTCTTCTGTGCACCAGGCGAACAGCTCCTTGTACTCCTTCAATAGCGCTATCAGCGGCTCGATCGCGTCGTCGCGGACGTGAGTCGAGATGCGTATTTTCCTAGTCGGCTCATTTGGGTCGAGCGCGACCTCGAAATCGGAATCCATTGATTCCGGACGGGGCTCCTCTGGCCTTGTGTCGACAATGTTGGTTTGCCGGGGCTCTCCTTCTAGCTTCATGGCTCCCCATGGTGTTCCGCGCGCCTCTCCGGTTCCCATCTTGGTAGGGAACTTAAGCTTTTGGTGGCATGTGGAAGGAAGGGCCATGAATTTTGCTAGGAAGGGTCGGCCCAAGATGTCGTTGTGGGATGATTTGCTGTCGACTATTGTGAACTCGACTTGCTTTGAGACGCGCGGCTCTTGGTCACCGATAACGACAGGGAGAGTGACCACCCCGATTACTGGGACCCTAGCTCCAGAGAAGCCGACCAGGTTCCCTTGGGCGCGCTTGATTAAGCGCGGGTCGATGTCCATTTTGTCGATGGTGCTTTGAAAGAGAATGTCTGCCGCGGCACCTCCGTCTATCAGTAGGCGGTGGATCTTGCAGGCGGCCACTAGGGCGGTGATGATGAGCGGGTCTTCGGACGGAATTCCTTGCGGTAATTCGGTGTCGTCGAAGCTTAGTTGACCCCCTGTTTGTACATCCGCTGCTGCGAATTCGATCGCTCGTTCGCGCTTTGTTTTCTTTTTCGGGCGATCTCCTTCCACCGTCACCACCTCTATTTCTTTTCGCACTACATATGCTGCAGTGGCTTCGTTGTAGTCAGCTTGTGGGGGTGGTGGCGGGTTTTGGGGCCCCCCAACTTGTTCCTCTTTCTCCTGCGTGAACTCGGTCAGCAATCCTCGTCGTATGAGCCCTTCTATTTCGTAGCGCAGCTCTCGGCAATCTTCTGTCCAGTGCCCCGTTGCTCTATGGAAGTCGCAATGCTTTTTTGGGTCCCGCATGTGGGGCAAGGACTTCAGAGGCGCGGGCCAATTGAGCCTGTATCCCTTCTCGCGTAGGACGTGGAACACGTTCTTCATGGAGTCGTTGAGCGGGGTAAAAGCGTGGGGTGCGCGCCTGTCTGGCGATCTTCCTCGCTGGGCTTGCTCTTGTGGGGGAGGGGGATGGTGCTTTTGCCCGCTGTGTAGCTGCGCTAGCTGATCTCGCGGCAGCGTGAGCTGTCGACATCCCTGCTCTTCTCGTGGTAATTTGGCTGGCTCGAAGCGTCTAACAGATCCCGCTCCGAGGGTTTCTTCCAGCGTAATTGCCTTCTCAATTTTCATCTCCAATTCCGTTAATAGAGTTACGGGCCTTTTTGCTAGTGCCCGCTTGAGTTCCATGTTGGTCGTGGCTTCCATAAGGTGATGGGCGGCGATTTCGGGAGTAAGGTCGCGCACTGCCATCGCCACCCTGGACCATCTGGCGTAAAATGACCGTAGGCTCTCCCCGTCTTTTTGCCTGAGGTCTACCAGCGCCTTGAGGTGGAGGGGCCTTCTTTTTTGGGATGCAAACTTTGTCGTGAATAGGAGTATGAACTCCTCAAACGAGCGGATGATCCCATTTGGGAGCATGTTATACCAATCTAGGCATATCCCGGAGAATGTTGATGGGAAGGTTCGGCATAGCGCCGCGTTGGAGTTGGTTTGGAGCTGCATCCGCAGGCAGAAGGTGCTCACGTGGTCTTCGGGATCAGTTGTCCCGTTGTATGTTGGGAGGGCGGGTGGCATTCCGATCAGGTGTTCCGCCATGATTTCCGCGCTTAGCGGCTGGTGGAGCTCCCTCTTGGGCGGATTGAGTCGATACTGCGGAGACAGGTGTTGCTCCAGAAAACTGAGGTCCGCCCTTCCTGGTAGCTCAGCTTGTTGTGCTTCATATGTGGGGTGCGGTGGTGGGACCGTCCCCGACGTTTCTCCTGGGGCTTGTTGGGTCGCGACTGGTGTTGCGCATACCGTGAGCTCGGCTTGTTGCACTTCGTGCGCGGGGTGCGGTGGTGGTGCAGTCCCCGACGCTTCTCCTGGAGCTTGTTGGGGCGCAGATGGTGTCGCGACCGCCGTTGCCGCGCCTCCTTTCCTCATCATGAGCGCCATGACCTGGCTCATTTGTTTCTGCATGCTAGCTATGACGTCATTTTGCTTCGCCATCAGCTGTCTCATTTCCTTGGCTGTGAGCTCGGGCTCTTCCTCTTCTAAGAGCACCGCGTTGAGATTGCTAGCTTCCGCGAATTCCCTTGGGTTGGTCATCGCTTTGATGGAGGGTGATTCGTCGGGTGAGTTGGAGTTATGCTCTGCCATAGGTCGATTTTCTTTGCTTCTTTACTTGGCCCCACGGTGGGCGCCAATTGTTTGAGCCTAACTGAGTGTAGAAGGGAGGCTCGGGAAAATGGGTCAAGGAAAGTAAGCAGTGAAGGAATAATCGTTTATGGAGAGATTCATGGGATTACGAAGAGGGTTGAGAGAGAAATAGCCTTAGAGAGAGAGAAGTTGCTGATTTTAGAGATAGAGTCTGAAAAATCCGATCCCCTCACCCACCGGAGTTAATGCCTTATTTATAGGCTACATGGTGGTGGGTGAGTTACATGGTGACCTGTCATAGCGACATGACTACTGACATGTCAGAGGCTAGGCCATATCGCTACCTAGGACAAGTACACTTAGCCTTTCATTATACCTAGGACCATGATGTGACCACTAAGACCATGATGTGACTACCCGATAAGTGGGATACGACGCCGCTTCTCATTCACGTCGCTTTAGTCGTTGCTGGGCTCGGGCTCCCCTTGGGCGCGCTGGCGCTGAAGCGCCCGTCCCTAGGTATTCGCGCTCGCCTATGCTCTTGTTCGCGCCGCTGTCGGTGCGCCCGTCTCTTGGTGTCGGTATTTCTTTAGCGCGGCGGGATCCGAGTCACATGCCCAACAAAAGTTCATCACTTTTATTACCACGGTGAACGGATACATCTAACGCTTTTCATGTATATCGATCAGATTGGTGTACGTTTTTAATCCACATGTCATCTTAATTGAGTTGTGATCGCACTAAGTTTACATGATTTCTTATTCCTAATCTATGTATGAGTTAAATTTGTCAACCAGTAATTTATGTGGTTTGTTCGATGGTAAAATAAAACAACTAAGCTCATGAACTTATTATGTTACGTTCAGTGGCGGACCCAGAAATTTTTCATAGGGGTGTCATCTTTTAACAAATAAATTTAATAAAAATAAAAATAAAATAATTAATAAAATAAAATTGTAAATTAGAAAAATACTTTACACGTACAGGTTTGAAATGTCCATTATGTGTTCTCATATTCTGAAATAATTGTAGAATACACTTGGTGTCTACAGTGTTAAAAACAATTGTATCTATATACCCTACTAGACAATCATTCACGAACTTATCGCATATTCGATTTGTAAACTTGTGCTTGATGTAACCCAAAACTGAAAGAATCTTTCAATACTTGTCGTACAACCATAAAATCAATACAAATTAAGGGTAAGTTGAAATTAGTTTAATTGCTAGGTTTTGAAAATAATTAGAAATAGGGAATGACATTTTACGATGATACAGTGTTCAAAATTAAACAACAAATGAGTTGTAGTTTAATGTAAATTAAGTTTGTTAATAATAATAGTGCTCTAGGTTTGAATTACCCAACCTACCACTTATATTCTCATACACAAATTTAAAAAATGATATTAGAATAATCATTTTTTTTCAAATTTCAGGGGTGTCGCTCACTATCAATTATAAATTTTTTATCCATACGTAAATTTGTATCGTGGGTTGAATAATCGTTTTCCCAAAATTTAGGGTGTCACCGTGCGTCCGCCCCTGGTTACGTCGGAATAAGTGGACAGAATACCGTTCTATGTCCCTCGGGTGGTGAATGCCTCCAAATGCACAGTTTGTTACGTATGGTTTTGGGCTTTACATGCGCTGGTTTGGCGCATTTGCATGGCTCAAGTGAAATGGAGGAACATTTTTCTGGATTTTTGCTAGGACAATGGACAACATATATAGTTGCATATAATTAGTCATATATGGTTTCTGGATTCTTACAATTGTACTTAAGACTACAAGAGGTTTCTCAGGTTTTGTTATGTTATGCATGTCTATGATTATGCCATTTTTATGGTGGGACCTGTGCCAATTGGCTAGTTAATTTGGTCCTCCCACCCATTATGACGTTCAATCTGATATCATCTTGTAACGTTTCGTTTCATTTACAAGAAATTGACCGAAATTTCAAAGAAGTTAAATGTTGATTTATTCATTCATAAGAAATTGAAGGAGTAAGGAGTAAACTAGAATTATTTACTTTCAACTATGAATCTTTCAAACCTCCAGGTTGTAGAAATTAAGGCAATACTTTCGAATATGGATAGCTGGAGAGAATCTCGCCTTCTTTCAACATCGTTATCCTAAAACTAGATCATTGTACTTGAACTTGAAAGTTTTTTAAAAAGACTCATAAAACGACGGAGGAAGTAGTATTTTGCCACACATAGAATGCTCCATTGACGAGATACGAGGTTGGTACGACATATTTTCAAATTTGATTACACTTTGTATCATTTCGAGGAAAATTTATTGAAGAACGCATAATCAGTAATTGGATAAAATAAAAATGATCAAGTTAGAAACTTGACTACGGGATAATTAATGTGTATCAAGTTCATCCATTATGTGCTAGAATATAGGGGTCAAGAAATACATTAAGAACGCATAAATAGTAATTGGATTAACAAAAATTATATTAGTGTATAATTTACGAGGGTGCGAGAAAGGAGGGAAAGTAATTACTACGTTACTGACTTTGTTAAACAATAATAATAATTTAATCAAAATTCACCTCCTCCTCCCACAATTCACTTCCCAAACTTGACAAAAATATTCAAGAAGATACCTAAACAAAGCTAAATACACCGTTTATACCAAACAAAAAACAAAAAAAACTAAACTCGGCCACTGAGTTCACCTTTCTCGACTCAGTGAGCCAACGAGTCAGCACCCTAGCTAATCTGACCACCAAAATCCCCTCTGACGATCTCAACCACGGAGCAAAGGCCTCGAATCTCCGACGAACTCCCCGTTGTTGTTGTTGTTCCTCCGAACAACACAGGAGGAGTGAGCGCACCGCTGAATCTCCTCCAGATGCAGAAACCTCCTGATCGAATCGGATCTCGACACCAATTTCAAAATCTCCTCGAACTCCAGCTCCCCGCAGGGGATCCGTAGCGGCCCGGCGTTGGCGAACCCGAACTCCTCCTCGGCCTGCGCCAGGACGCGCCTGAAGATCGGATGGTTCAGGTGAGTCGCCCGGACGACGAATCTCCGGCAGCTCGCCCCGACGCAGACGGCGACGTGGCCGGCCGGGACGTCGGATGGCGCCGCCGCGGCGGGTCTCGACGGTGAGAGCGACGGCGATGAGCTCGAGGACGAGGAGGCGGAGGAGGATGAAGAGGCGTTGGCTCGGGCTTTCCTGCGCCATTGCTTGAGCATTTGCTGGATTCTGACGATGTGGCGGATTTTGTTGGATTTCGGCATTGGAATTCGGAGGAAGATGAGAGGAGAGAAAGTAAAGGGATGTAGAGAGAGAGAGAGAGAGAGAGAGAGCTGTTTGGGGAGTGTGGTTGGGTCCAATGAGGATAAAAAGAGAGGAGAGAGAGAATAATTGTTTTATTAGCGGTTGAGACGAGAGAGAGAGAGACGCTGAAAAGGGGGAGGGTTATTCGGGGAGAGAGATTGGAGCGGAGAGGGGAAGGGTTTTTAAAGAAAAAGTGGAGTACGGAAATGCCCCTGGATTTTCAAGATTCTTACGAGATTTTGTATGTTGGTTGGTTTCCAGTTTCCCACTATTGTTCGCTGGTGGTGGTTGGTTTCATCGGTACTAGTAACGTTTGTTTTGAGTCGAGTGTAAGATTTGAGTTAACCGAACTCTTTGGTCATACTCATATTGTTTGGTTTCGGTCTTGGGTTCGAATAATAGGTACAACCTAGGGTGGACAAAGGTCAGTAGGGATGGCAATGGGTCGGGTTGGGAGCGGGTTTTGTCAAATCCAAACCCAAATCCATGGGTTTATTTGCCAAAAAAAAACCGGGGTAAAACCCGTTGGGTTTCTAAACTCAAACCCAACCTAACCCGCTGGGTATCCGCGGGTTCATGGGTACCCGTGGGTTTTTCTAGTAAAAAATTTACAATAACAAGTTTCTTTCAAAATAAAAGTTTAACATCAATTTTCTCATACAAATTAATCATACAAAAAACACCAATCTGGAGCATACAACCGTAAATGATCAATACAAATTGTTCAAAATTAAAGATAAACATCTATAAACAATAAGATTAATTGAAAGCTTCTTCCTCGTCAACTAAGTTTCTTCATTCTTCACTTCATAATATCAACTTCATTCTAAACAATTAGAAAGAACAAATTATACATGTCTCCACAAACATAAAGAATATTAGTTGTTTAAGGAAGATATATTATTTAGAATATTAAATATATTGGGAAAGTAATTATATGTGTGTGGGCGGGTACCCATGGGGCGGGTTTACCTAAACCCAAACCCAACCCGACCCGATGAATAGTGTAGCGGGTTTAAACCCGAACCCGGCCCAAAACCAGTCAACACGGATTTTACCCGCGTTGATCGGGTTGGGTCGGGTGGGTATCCGTGGGTTCGGGTTTTGTTGCCATCCTTAAAGGTCAGGTTTGTATTGAGATAGAACCAGACAAAAAAACATATTTAATTCATCTGGTTCAACTCGGACTCCAAATTTAATTTCAACCAATTTTTTCTTCCTATTTAAAATAATTCATAGGGCCAAATAGGACCAAATATATCAAACGTATTTTTAGTTTGGTTATGTGTTCATACCGAAATGAGCAACCTTTTAACCCCAGCTCAATTTAACTCACTATTTGTTGTGTTGACTCAATCGCACATGATCAGTTGCTAAGCATTTTAGAGAGTGCTATAAGATCCAGCATAACCTTCTCCCAACAACTCGAGTTATTATGACCAATTGGTTTAGAACATGATATCAAAGTCTGGTTTGGCCAAGTAATCTTGTGTTCGAATCTCCACAACCCCCAATATTAACAGTTGATTAAATCACATGATATGGTGGGCCTGTGCAAATTTCAAAGCTCATGACTTGGCTTTTTTTGAAAGGGCGTGTTAGAGAGTGCTATAAGATTCAACATAACATTCTTCCAACAACTCGAGTTATTAGTACCAACGAGTCACTCGTTCCTCTGCTTTGATGTTTTCTTATTTGCCCTCAAACCGTAACCTTTTGGCCCTTGCCCTGTTGAACCTGCAACCTCTTGACTCAGCCCCACATTTCTGGTTAACCCAGGCAGCCTTCTGACTTTTTTTTTTTTTGACAAAAGGTAATCATATATTGATAGGACAAAATAGGTAATTACATCCTGGAGGTCAGCCAGGCCTGAAAATCAAAATAACGACACATAGACGGGGACAAAGACAGGGCCTTTCTAGCTACCACATGAGCTACCCTATTGCTATCCCGACCTATAAATCGCACACTAAATCCTGAATTAGCCGCAAGCATCATCACCACCTCTTCCAAAACAGCCCCCATCCGACTATCTCTCACATCTCCTTGGCAGATTTTATCAATGACCACCTTGGCATCTCCTTCAAACTGCATCCCCGAGAAACCATGATCCAAACACCAGTTGATAGCCTCCCGGAGGGTTAGTAATTCCACCACCATGGGATCATCAACAAAAGGGAAATGCATCCCAATAAACCAGAGGACACCTCCTGCCTCATCACAAACAACTACCTCTCCCGCCGACTGCGACCCCCTACGAACAGCCCCATCCCACCGACACACAGGCAGCCTTCTGACTCAACGAGTCTGTACCTTGGCAAATTTCCCAACCTTCGCTGTTATCGTATGCCCAAACCTTTTCAGCGTCTCCTTGATTAAATGGAGGTGCTTTGGGAACATATAATCGAAGCAGAAGGAACCAGTTATATTGGGTATGCATCTAAGCCAAAGTACTCCTGGTAGCAACGAAACTTCGCTTGTATGATTCTGCTGCACCCTGAGACATCCCTAGTGAATGATCAATAATAAGTAACTTTAAGCTAATCGAACGTTGCTAGCTCCTTCAACTTACTAAAGCTGCAAATATCGACAGAACCATGCTCTCCCTCAACTATCACAATATGACAAAAAAAGGTGAACTACAAGGTTCCTAAGAACTAAAAACTTGGTCATGTACAAGAGGATTCTCTCAAGAAGTCATTACCTGAGGCAAGAACAACCCGTACGCAATCAAGGACCAGTATGTAAGGTATTCTGTCAACATACGCAATCAAGGGACTTCGTGTTCTCGTAAATGGAGAGGGTTGCTGTTCAAAAACGTCTGAAATATTGCTCAGTAACTACTACACAGCAGATGCAAACTTAAACTGTAAGGTAATATCATGGAAGAAAGGAAACACTCAGAATACAAAGACATTATCCAAAGATTACATTGATGGCGTAGAAATTCAGAGTGCGAGATATTGCACTATTCAAACCTTGGAACAAAGGAGATTAAATGTTCTGCCAAGCATTCCTGGTCATCCTCCATAAACTCATTGATCAGGATATCAGCATGATCGAGGGAAGGAATGCTTGACTTGGTGAACACCAGGGAGTCCGGGCGATGCAGAAGATCAATTCAGCCTTGGAGCAACTATTTCCATCTCGGAACACACCAGACCTTTCAGTTTCAGGCTAAGGAAAAGGGGTCCAGATATCATAAGAATCAGCCCCAAAAAATCGGAAGTCAGGGTAGAGACAGTGACTCACTACAAAAAGGATAAAAGTCCACATCCTCATCGGCCATCAGTAGGTATCGTTTTAAGACAAAAGGAGTCAGCTTTACAAAACCATAGAAACCAAATACACTGTCGATGTGGACACTTAGCTCTAGAGTACCGAGATTCCAATTCGAGATTGTGCCAAACAAATCTGAGAAACTGTAAGTCTCTTCGGGTCTTGTTCCCACATACTCCAGGTCAATCACTAAGTGATGATGTGATGAGTATAATGAGATAAGGCATACTGGATGACCTTGCCAAACAGACCATAAATCTATTTCCCCGGATCCTCATTGTCAATGTAGCTTATCTCGCTGACATCACAGGGACCGCAGAGGGACAAAATGTTCTCCATGTACCTCCCGAAACTCGAATACGAGGAAGCAGATAAAGACCAGGGACATGTTTGAAATCCAATCTCCATGCTCAGGACAATGCAAAGGTTTGAACCGCAATGTCGAGAAACACAACAGGACATTATAAATAATGGGTTCCGGAAGATGGATTAACCTGTCACTAGTAGTAGAAACATCTTCTTCACGGCCCCTTTTTCCCATTCTTCCCCAACTCGCAGCTTCTGCTGTCGTTGTTCATAGCTCTCTACTGGTGGCAATTACACTTCGTTTCTGAACTCTAGGAACCCTAGAACGAGAACAAGAAACGATTAGAAACAGTTAATTGAGCAAGAAAACGGAATCAATAAATAGAAGTTCACCTGTTTTCGATCATCATTACAAAAACAGGTGGTGGCAGGCTCTAGCCGTTGTGTCTCCCGCCATGAGAGGCACAATGGATCACCTCCACTGTGCTGCAAACTCCCCATAAATGGATGGCCGCAGTCGCTAAATGCTGAATCTGATAAACAGAAGGGGGGAAAGGACGACTGTGGACATTTCGTCGGCCGGAGGGGAGGTACGATTCCGATTTAGGGTTTTGGTTGCAGGCGCGCAATTCAGACTTCAGCGGGAAAATGCAGAGGGAAATCGAATGGACTTCATGGGCAAATAACGGATTTCCGGTTTATCTTCTGGCCTCTGGGCCAGTTGTAGGTTGTGGGCCCATACCATTTAAGGAATTAAAAGCCCAAACAACTCACGAAGACAACGGTTACATTTTTCAGCAGATTTTTTTTGGGTATACTGTATACATGTAGTTATGAAATTTGCTTTTGTAAATTTTAATTTAAAATTATTTAAATCAATTTCAAATCAAAATAGAGAAACAAGCTTATTAAAAATCTTGCATCAACCTCTTGATAATTGGTATTTCCTACTATTAGATGATGTTTTGTTCATGTATGATCGGTATAACTAAATAAACAAATTTATTTCGATATTATAATATCAACTACATATGTGAAGTATGACTCAACGTTGTTTCTTCCTTTTCTTGTAATCTACTGAAAGCCACAATCAAGGATATCAACGACGAATCGACGTTGGTTGCTTCTTTCCGGATTTGCATTTTCTTCTAGAAAATCCCATACATTGTTAGTTATATGTGGCACAAGCTTAGTTGTTTAAACTTCATACATTTTAGTGAAACGGCTTGTGTACTGTTGAAGTCATCGTTCATTTTTATCATAATTTGTGTCTCCGGTCCAATTCATATTTGTTAGATTATGAAGTAGAAGGATGTAGACAACTTATTGTAAGAATGCAAAACAGGGGTTTGATAACATGTGAAATTTTGGTCTTCTCTTCGGTGTACTCATTTTTTGGCTGTGTATTATGCACTTGTCTAATAATCATTATTATGAGTATATGTAATTTACGTCAAAATAATTTCAATTGTAACATGTGATGGACAAGAAAACACATAAATTTGCACACAAATTATTTAAAATTTACTTTAATTCCAAGGATTTAGGGTTCAAGGGTTTAGAGTTAACTTTTAGAGTTTAAAAATTGGGGATTACGGTTATATTTGTAATTGAAGGTTTATGACTTAGGGTAACACATTGATTGGTTGTGATCCTATGTTATACCATCTAGGGGTGTTCAAACGGTTTGGTTACCGTGGTAACCGTTTTAACCGGTACTATTTGGATAATTTGGTTTGGTTAATTTGAATAATTGGTTTGGTTTGGTTAAATTTTTTAGCTTGTTTGGTTTAGGTGGTTTGGTTTGGTTTCAGACACTCCTAACTAGTCAAACCCAATTAACCAGTTAAGTAATTAGTCATATATCTAACATATATTATATACACATACTTAATATTTTGCATAACCACTCAAGAGTTAACGTTCATCCCTTTTAGACTCATAAAATATAAAGCTCAATATTCCTCATATAGTGTATATTTGTATATGTAAAGTGTAGACCATAACATATGGACGCCTAATTTAGATAAATTTCATACATTATGATGGATGAAAACTTGAAGGGAAGGTCATTTCCAGCCTATGATAATTGCTAAGAGACTAAGTCAATTTACACAAACACAACAATTCATTAACCCATATCATTGTCATAAATTTTTGTTAGGTGAATACTTCTATACTAATCGTAAGATAATTGTCTTAGCTGCATGTATTTTTGTTAAGAGTCAACTATAACTACGTGTTGATGGTTATGTTTTATTCATTATATAAATTACAAATTGTTGTATTAACCGGAAAATTTTCATCGTCAATGATAATGTGATTTTATATTGGTTAATCTGGTTAACCAATTAACCAAACCGATTAAACTTTAGTTTGGTTAATTTGGTTGTTGTATTAGTTTGGACGGTTTGGTTATGATATTGTATTCCATGGTTAATGGAATTTAGCCTTATTTGGTTTGGTTATAACCATGGTAACCATTTGAACACCCCTAAATTACCATCACATTAGACAAATGCTACTAATTAAGATTCAATTTTTGACTACTTTTGTAGTTGGGCGTATATCATGTACTCATTTTTGTAGTGCTCCGAAGAAGCTACCATGAAATCCTTATTAGTTCTATGTCCGCTCTATGGGGCGATTTACAATATCATTCAATTCTAAACCATGTGTACAATTAACATATTTCATTAAGAAAAGTTCATCCCACAAACACCCAATCCCTGTACACCAAGACACATTCTACTATTCATTTGGACTCAGTTACTCTGTTCATTGGATTCTTATTGGTTGTTGCATGTTGAGGGCCCCGGTGCATCTCCTCTCTCTTTCTGACAGGTCGATGGGCTGTTGCTCTCTATCAGTGGTGGATTTCACTTGGGAGCCTCCCTCTGGCGGCGGGTTGCTTGCGATGGAAATCGCGTTGCCCTCAATGCACCTCCATCTCCACTTCTCTCTTGATTCCTCTCTCATTTCCTGAATCACGGTACGATCGAGGCTTTTTGGCAGCTTTGCCTCTATGATGAGGGAAGGCTACTAGCCTACTACTGATGGATGCTTGTGATGGAGACTGAGCGACGTTGAGGGAGAGGAACTAAAAAGGTGACATATCTTTCTTCTTACATCTCTCTCTGCTCTCTCATCTCTTTGTCCTCTGTTTTCTGCTCCGCTCCCATCTCCTTTTCCACTGTTTAGTGGCGTCGACTGAGGGAAAAGGAAGGAAAAAAACAATCGATTGGGAGTAGAAGGAAGCCTTGGCCGGTTCTGTCCAATCAAGGCAGGGGAAGGAGAGAGGATGATATGATGGTTTGGCGGTGGAGTGAAAGCCATATAGAAAGGATCAAGACCAAAGCATTGCACTCCGTGATCCAGGTTTTTTCCCCCTTCCTCCTTCTTCTCTCTATTCTGCACTATCCACAAATAAGAACTGGAGTCTCTCTCCAATTCACCCGATCCCATCTTTCCATCTTCCTCATCTCTCTCTCTCTCTCTCTCTCTCTCTCTCTCTCTCTCTCTCTACTTCCTCTGAACTGCAAATAGAATCCGCTGAGGAACCTCTTCACCTTTACATGCGACCAGCCGGCGAGAAGCTGCCAGTTGAAGTGGAGGAAATCATGAGATCCCGGTGAGCTATGAATCTCTAATCTTTCGTTTCGTTTTTCTCTCCTATTTTGCATCAGTGGTACCTTCATTCGTTGTCTCCTCTCTTTAGGGATAGACAGGAGTCAACGATATGCTTGCTTAGGACGATGGCTCTCCGATTGTGGTGGCTAAGGGTATGGCGGTGGCCACAGGAATCAGGTAGAGAGAGGTGGGGAACCCCTAAGCGATACGGCGACCAGATTTGTTTGTTCTTGCGACCATATCGGTTTTGAGCGTCCCTCACTGACGAAGAGAAGATCCGAAGATGATCCTTCTTTCTTTCTCTCTCTCTCTCTCTCTCTCTCTCTCTCTCTCTCTCTCTCTCATTTCGGAGGCAAGGTAGTATTGAGCGAACAAGGTAGTTCTCAAGCCGGAGCATGCTGATATAACGGTAGGTTCAAGATCTGCAATCCTCTTTTTTCTTTAGTTACTGAATGGTGATTCCGTGACTTTTTCCTTCTTTTCTCCCATCCCCCAATAAAAAATGAGCGGGGTTTTCAGGTTGATTGATTGTCAGGTTTCGGAGGCTCACGGTGGGGTTGGGGAAGAAGCAGGTTCGTGGATTTTGGGTTTTAGTTTTAGGTAATTGCTCTCTCTCCTTCAATCTGGGTTTGTTTTCTGATTTCTTGAATGGTTCGAACTCTTCCTTCCTGTCTCTGAAGGTACCTCTGATCTTGGAGATTACCTCGCTTATTTTACTGATAGGGACTTCAGAGGACTTAAGTGGTAGTAGAGTCTTCACAGGTTCGTAGAGATTACCTACGCCAAGATACATGATAGGGTTTGTTTTAGTGTACTAACAAAGTGATGGGAACATGTTCTTACTGGCAGCAATTTTTTGTTTGTTTATTGTTTAGCTTAATCTTCTGGGTTTTGTTTCAGGACTTGTGGAAGGAGTTCTTGAGCTCGGACTCTGCAAGAAAGGTAGATATCCATTTCCCCCTTGGACTTGAGATTGTGTAGTTACATTTATAGATTATGTGATTGTCTTTTCCCTTTAGTCTTTGGTTTTGATAAGTAGTTTATGAAAAAATAGGCGGTGAAGCTGAAAGCCTTTGACAAGTTTGACAACACGGCTGATGCTCTAGAGGCAGCGACCAAAATCATCGATGGCTCGACCACGAAAGGTCTTCAAAAATTCCTGAAAGCTCACTGTGAAGGCGAGAAATTGGCTGTGGCTGACTCGAAGCCGGGAAATTCAATCAAGGAGAAATTGGTATGATTTTATGTCAAGTGATAACCATAAAAGCTCCCAGTTGGGCTTGAGCATGGTGTGTGTTTCTGTATACCAGCTTTGATTGGAATTTCAGAAAATCGATTGTGTTCACAACAATGCTGTCATGGAATTGATGAGAGGTGTGAGGAGTCAGTTGACAGAACTTATAGCTGGTCTGGCGAACCAAGATCTGGCACCAATGAGCCTTGGTTTGTCTCATAGCTTGTCTAGATACAAGCTGAAGTTTAGCGCTGATAAGGTACCTTCACTTCTTTGATGCATCTGTTTTCCATAATTTCTGTGCATAGTTATGTCTATATTTGACCTATTGCTTTCTTCTTAATGTTCCAGGTTGATACTATGATTATTCAAGCTATTGGGTTGCTTGACGATCTTGATAAGGAGCTTAATACTTATGCAATGAGAGTCACCGAATGGTACGGTTGGCATTTTCCAGAGCTGGCCAAGATTGTTCAAGATACCATTGTCTATTCTAAAGTGGTGAAGTTTATGGGTTTCCGTGAGAATTCTACAAAACTTGATTTCTCTGAGGTATATATCCTGGCTTCTCTCAAAAGGCCAACGATTTCTAGAATTGGAATTGCGGTTTACATGTTTTTTGGGTCTAGGGTTGGTTAACTACTTCCACTCCCGTTACTGCAATTGACATTGGTTAGATGTGTCAATATGGTTACCTGGTTATGGTTACTATGCAAATGGTTCTGGTTTCGAATTTTAGGTTATTGGTTTTTCAGTTACAAGTTGATGGCATGACAACAACTATTCTTTGATTTTGTAGATACTAACTGAGGAGGTTGAGGCAGAAGTGAAGGAAGCAGCCAACATATCAATTTTTTGTTTTAGCTCCCTGACTGCTCTACTGACCGGTCCTTTTGGTTGTCTTCCCCACTATCTGTGCTTTTATCCACAATTCTTTTGGCGAGTTCAAGTCACTCTTCCAGCAGCAAGTTGGATCTTTGTGGTTTCTCTATTTTGATGTTCATCCTTCCATTTCCAGTTTTTAAGATTTAGTGTCTTCTGTTAGTTTTCCTTGATCCGGATGTTTTTGTCAGATTTTCTGATGATACTCTCACTAGATCCTCTGTCCGGAGCTGCAAAAGATGCCAGGGATGCAAGACGAAGAAGAAGGTAAACCACCACCGAAATTTTTGTAGCCTGTTGTTCCCAGTTGAGCCCCCCCTCTCGATTTTTTGTTCCCAGATTCTCTCTTTCGTATCCCAGTGGCACTTTGCTACATTGAGGACAGTTCTGGGTGCTGATTTGTGGACTTATAATCAGGGAGGAGCCATGTTGTTTCATTGGATGGCGTCACAATAGATGGTCAATCTATTCGACAACAATGTGCTGCTGCAATAGATCAAGTTAGAAAGGTGTTAATTTCTTGGTCTCCAGGAGTAAAGCTTTATTATGGGTGCTTGAAATTTAGTCTTTTACCTTTGACTGTGGTGTTCTCTTTGGCTCGAAACCATGTTTGTTGTCCCAAATTGATGTATTGTTACATTTCCTTCGTCATTTGTGGATAAGTGCAGCAGCTGCTACGTTATCTCTTTTTTTGTTTTCTTATGTAACTTCCATCTATAAAATCCTCATTGTATGAACATTAGTTTGGGCTTAAGAATACAGTCCCAAAGGCCCCTTTTCCCTTTCAATCTCTTGCATTCTCTACTTTAGATTGGTTCCTAATGGAACCTCAATCTTCTTATATTCTTTCGTTACTAATAATACAAGTGCTCACCATTAGAGATTCAAAGATTGCATAAAAACGTTGTGGGGAGGGAAGGTATGAATTAATTCATTTTGTTGCCTTAAGAAAAAAAGGTTAAGCAAATGGTGTTTCATTTAATTTTCCTCAAGTGATGATAGTGAAGATTATTAGTTAGCAAACTTTACTGCTCTGCATTACATTAGCCAGAGATTACACAAATTAAACGTACCCCGCGGCAGAGCGCGGGCGACTCCCTAGTAATATATTAAAGGGCTAATACCACTACAACACCCGAACTATGACAAAACTGTCACTTGTATCCTATTCTTTCAAATATTCCATTTATGTCCTGAACTATTTTTTTCGTTAGAGTTGACCGGTGTTGACCGTTAATTTTAACAGAAATTATAGTTAGCGCTGACGTGGCAGATGACATGGAATTTTAAATTAATAACATTTTAAAATAAAAAAAGAAAGCAAAATTTTGGGCCACTTCCGACCTCACCCTCCTCCCACATTCTCTCTCCCTCCCTGCTCACCTCCGCCTCTCCGCGACTCCGCCTCCCAACTCGCCGACTCCGCAAAGTCGCCACCATCTCCCAGTAATCCGCTCTCCTTGCAACCAGTTGCTCCAATCACCCCTCTCATTCGACAAAAACCCCTGCCTCATTCGACAAAAAACCCTGCCTCCACCACTGCTCTGAATCGAAACTTCTATGGTCGATTTCAGAGGAGCCCTAAATTGGCCAGCCATGGCCCTAGCTTCCCCCATCCAAATCCGTCTCTCTTCCGCCCTTCACCCATCGATTGATAACTTGAGTTTGCCCCGATGTTGGGTCGGCAGGCTATGGCAATTTGGAGGGTCGGGTCGGCGGGATCAAGCAATTTGGAGGGGAATCAAATCTAGCAGGGGAAGAAGGTTGCATCTTCGATGTTTGGAATCGCCGGCCGTTGTTCGCGATCCCTAGTCGTTTGCGTCCCTATCCATCATCATCCCTCTCTCCTCTCCCATCTTTCGGCCGCCGAAGTTGTTCCACTGGCTGTATGAGAATCAGAGCTTCGTCGTCTTCCAGATGGAGAGGGTTGAGGAATCAAGGTCGCTGGAAGAGCAGCTTGTCGTGGGCGAAGGCGGCGACGAGATATCGTTGCCATAAACCTTTGGTAATTGGTATTTCCTACTATTAGATGATGTTTTGTTCATGTATGATCGGTATAACTAAATAAATAAATTCATTTCAATTTTATAATATTAACTACTTATGTGAAGTATTACTTAACTTTGTTTCTTCCTTTTCTTGAAGAGTACTCTACTCAACTAAAAGCCACAATCAAGGATATCAACGACAATGGTTGCTTCTTTCCGGGTTTGTATTTTCTTCTAGAAAATCCCATACATTGTTAGTTATATGTCGCACAAGCTTACTTGTTTAAACTTCATACATTTTAGTGAAACGGCTTGTGTACTGTTGAAGTCATGGTTCATTTTTATCATAATTTGTGTCTCCCATCCAATTCATATTTGTTAGATTATGAAGTAGAAGAATGTAGATATCTTATTGTAAGAAGGCAAAATGGGGGTTTGAAAACATGTGAAATCTTGGTCTTCTCTTTGGTGTACTCATTTTTTTGCTGCGTATTGTGCACTTGTCTAATAATCGTTATTATGAGTATGTAATTCACGTCAAAATAATGTCAATTCTAACATGTGATGGACAAGAAAACACATAAATTTTCACAAAAGTTATTAACATTTACTTTAATTCGAAGTATTTAAGGTTAAGGGCTTTAGAGTTAACTTTTAGAGTTTAAAATTTGGGGATTAGGGTTATAATGTCCGCTCTATGGGCTTACTTACAATATCATTCAGTTCTAAACCATGTGTACATGTAACATATTTCACAATATATTAAAAACTAACTATTTGGAGCATGCATTTACGTTATATAACGTACGTTATACTTTAGAAATGTTATATGTTCGCTTTATGAGACTATTTACAATGTCATTCAGTTCTAAGCCGTAGTCACATCTTCATGAAGGAGGAGCACTTATTTGTGTTTCTTTGGCGGGTTTGAATAATGTGACTATGTGATAACTGAAAATGACTCACAATCAAATTCTTAAGTTGGCATCCTCATCCGGCATCACAATGAACCATGCAGGACCACTGAGATAGGAAACAAAACTCTTATAATCAAATTCCTTAGTCGGTATCCTCTACGTGGCTTCCTCATCAGGCTACGTGAAAGTGGTGCCTGCAGGTAGAGAGCTCCCACTGTCGCAGCCTCATGAGCTCCAGCTGGGGCTCGTCCTGGCGCCATACCCTATGTTTCCAGTCAGGCTCACATCCCTCCCTATATGAGAGTTCTCCATCGACACTAACGAGCAGATCAGCAGGTGCGTGATCTGCTTCGAGGACTATACTTTAACCATCAATATACGTGTTTAGTGTATATATATACATGAGATTATTAATCAATAACTAATTAATCAAACATATCTTTCATGCCTCGTGAAAATAGGTTTAAACACCTTTGAGGTCATGCACTAAAAAAATAGTATTATTTTGTCTTCTAATAGGTTATATATAACCTATATTAATTATACTTTAGATTGTCATATAACAAAAACTTCCTTCATGTGTTATATTTATATGTTGCTTGGGAATGAATTTGGGAACGACAACTTTATGAATATATACTATACTCCGTGATAATTGCGAGCCACTCACTACAATACCAAGTGTAAAAAAGGGTTTGAATTGAAGGGTAGGCCAAATACCAACAACACAAAACTCTTCACTGCCCATATTCTGTGTGGTTATTTCTTCTTAGAGGAAAACTACTTGTAAGTTGGGAAATTGGTTTAGGAGTCTGTACATACATGCATATGGGGTTAATTGTACTGGATACCACGTAAGTATTGGTTTCGTTGCATACTAATTACTTAAGTTTTTTTAGTTGCAACTAAACCACATAAGTCGACTTCCGGTTGCACCGTTATATTTTCCTCCTTAAACTTAACGGCGGGTTTCAAATTGAAATTTTCCACCTTAATTTACACAATACCATTTTTCTTTCACTTTCTTTCTCTCCACAATATAAATATTTTTTTTTTATAAAAATGAAGGATTGAATAAACCCGATCACAATGAAACAATTGTAAATTTTGACAAAAACAATAAAAGAGGGCATAAGATAAATAAAGAGAGCGCTGGTAATGCCGAAATGAAGATGAAAGAATGTGAGGGAAAATTGAATTGTGTAGATTGATGCGGAAAATTTCAATTTGAAATCTGTCGTTAAATTTAAGGATGAAAAATATAACAGTGCAACCGAAAGTCAACTTATATGGTTTAAATGTAACTAAAAAAATTTAATTGGTTAGTATGCAACGAAATCAATACTTACATGTTATTCGGTGCAATTAGCCTCATATAAGGTAAGGTGAACAATCTCGTCATGTGACACAATTTGCATGATAATTTTTTTTACGGTGATCTTTTCCATTCCCCATTTTGTCCTTCCGTAATCTCGACCTGTAGGATCATATTGAGAGTATCAAGAACTCCTCGTGGTAAATCAATAGCTATCAATTGGGGGGTACTTTGGTTATTGTCCTAACAAGATGGAATAAACCAAAAGAAAAAACAAATTTAACAAAGGAAGGGGGGAAAAAAAACAAAGGAAATATGTATCTGTGATCCGTACGATTGATTGAATATAATCTGAACCACAAGTAGCCACATTCTCTGACAAGAAACTACATGCATATGTTGGAACTATTCCTATATTCTTTCTCTTGTTCCTGTTTCCATGCCGGATCTGGTGAGCGTAATTGGGACTGGCATAAACAGTAACAATAATTTGTAACTAAATCGCAGTACAAGGTAAAATAATAATAATCTTGATACGAACGAATATGAAACGAGCTGGTTCTTAACACGACTAGGGATTTCCTACGGTAACTTGAAGTAAGGTAACTTGATTTTTTTACCTGTTATGGCAGGTTTCACAGGTCTCATTACGTAAAGTACAATAAGCATTACGTAATGGTTACGTAACATATGGTAATCTTACGTAACAGTTGTAAAAGATTGTTACGGAAGCCTTACGTAATAGAATGTGTCTTTACGTAATGAGTATTAACATCGAGTTACGTAAAATGCTAAGTCATTACGGAAGCCTTACGTAACACTATTGATTTAACTGTTACGTAAGAAATAAATGTCGTTCCGTAACTTTTACGTAATTGAAGGTCTTTTTACGTAATGAGTATTAACCTCGCGTTATGTAAAGTGATAAGTCATTACGGAAGCCTTACGTAACGCTTCCAATTTAACTGTTAAGTAAGAAATAACTATCGTTACGTAACCTTTACATAATGAATGTGTATTTTACGTAACAGTTGTAAAATATCTTTACGGAAGCCTTACGTAATGGAAGGTCTCTTTACATAATGAGCATTAACGTCGTGTTACGTAAATGTCTAAGTTATTACGGAAGCCTTAAGTAACACTTCTAATTCAATGAGAATTAAAAAAAAGGAAGGAATAAAATATGGAAAACAACTAAATTTGAAATGGAAAGAAGAAAAAAAGAATGGTAAGTTGTGTAGTGGTGACCGGCAGTTGCCATTTATTTTCTTACTTATTTTTTTATTTTTTATTTATTTAATTAATGGTTTAAATTAAGTTTGATAGATTTTAACGGTTTAGATCTATACAAATTACCTAACTTGAAATTATACTCAAGTTATCGTAGGAGGTCCCTGTAACCTATCGACTTAGAATCAATTTCTCAAAGAATGAGGAACAATGAAAACAGGGACAGAGAGATCGAAAGATAATCCACATTCCATTGCTTGAAAAGTTGAAACTTTCTCCCACAGCAAAACTGTGGGGAAAATGAAACCATAAGTTGCTTTTTATACAGAGTTGAGACTTGGGAGTCCCCCATTGCCTAAAAAATAATTTGTCATGGGTACTACTTTCCTAGGTCAGTCATTAGGCCCTCTAAACCCAACAAAGAACAAAAAAAGGGGGGAAGAAAAAAAAAACTTAACTGAAAGGAAGAAAGAAGAAAAAAACAATCAAACCCAGATCTAAAACAATGAAGAGAGAATCAAGATGTTGAAAAAAAAAGATGAACTCTGCATCTTTGGCCACCTCCAAATTCTTCTCCATTATGTCATGGATCCCATTGAGTCTCCAACGGTTAGCACGCCGCGACCGACTTATTGCGACGAACTGGTTCTCAAATTCTTCATCGGAGCATGGAGGTGAGAGCGCGAAAAACAACTTCCTCACAAGGGATGGTGAGACCCATGTCGTGATCGAAACCAAACTCCTCCTCGGCTCGTCTGAGCAGGAACTGGAACTCAGGGTGGGTTAGGAACGAGATCGGGACGATATACCTACTCCTCTTCTCCCCTACGTAGACTGCAAAGTGTCCCTTTGGGACGTCCAAGGGCGGGAAGCAATCATCATCATGGTGGTTGTTGTTGTTGTTCTTCCCCAAGCTAGAGCACCTCTTCAGGATTTGCCTCAAGACTTTTGCTTGTGCCAGCTTGTTTGGTTTCCTAACTGCCATTTTCCTTTCTGTTTTTCTGCTATGAACTCTTTACACACTCCCTTTCTATCTTTCTTTCTTTCTTTCTTTCTTTCTCAAGTGAAGAATGGTGTTTTAGGATGTAATGGAGGAAATGGGTATTTATGAAGGAATGGGAATGAGGGACAAAGGACAAAGCCAAATGTGGGAGTGTGGGTACTGTTGAAGGACACACCACGGGTTGGTTTCTACAACTTCTAAGGGTATGTTATTAAAATATGTGGAGTGTGGAGATTTTGAGGTAAAAAGAAAAAGAGTATATGAGAGTGAAAGAGGGACATTGTGGGGTGCCATCCTCACTGTTTTACACTTCTTTGTTGCCCCTCCTAATGGCAACCTGGTCCCTCTCTCTCTCTCTCTCTCTCTCTCCACCACATTCCCAACTCCCAAGTAGTGATGGCAAGGCGGGGCGGGTACCTCAATTCCCATGCCCCGCCCCACGATACTACGGGTCGGGACGGGGCGGGTCGACCCACTCTTACATGTTGTTAAAAAGAATACAAGTAAATTTTACTTTTTACAATAAAACGTAGGGAAAAACACTTTAACAATGAAAAATATTGATAATAGAATGGATAATTGAGCCTAACAAATTGAAAGATCGACTCTAACTAGTTGAAGAAAAGTCAAAATAGGAGAAATACGTATAGATATTGTAAGAAATTGAGATAAAATGAGTCTAGAACGGGGCGGGACGGGGCAGGGCGGATCGGAAGTAGATACCCATGTCCCGCCCCACGCTACTGCGGGTCGGGTAATACCCGCCCCATCACGGGTCAGGTCGGGTAATACCCACGGGGCGGGTTGAAATTGCCATCACTACTCCCAAGTCTTCTTCTTCTCTTTCATCGACAAAAAGATAGCAAACTTCTATCTAACCAGAATCATCGTATGACACGATGTTTATCCGAACTGATCTTTCAATTGTCGTGCACCTTAATTAGTACGAGCAGCACTATATCATGCCTCCACTTGCACTCTTTGATTGTATACAGAAACAAATAGTAGCACACCGCTTCGTTACAATCGGATTTTGTATGACATTTTGGGTAGATGGAATCCAAACTTAACTTTTCAAATCAATCGAGTTCAAAGATTAAGGTAAGTACACATAAACCGTTTTCTTACCTTTTTTCTTTCTTTCACTTCACTCAAACCAAGAAAGCTAGAATACTTGCATATAACAAGTCTCAACAACGGCTACCTAATTCACACTGTTTCCCAGCATATTAAAAAAAAAATGGAACACAGATCTCTCAGGAGATTCAAGAGATCAAACCATCAGGTTGCTTTTTTTAGGGTTTGTCCGTTTGTACTCAGGCCTCAGCTCCCCAACTTTCACCGTATAGTATAATGGTATTACGACAGAAACCCATGCATCAAGAAATGGAGAAGTGTGTTTTTTTATATGCAACAAGGTACGGACTTTTGCCCTGCCTCCATCCCCTGTCAGTCTGCATACATACTATATATTAACTGCAAATTGACCATCCAATTCCACCTGTGAGTTGCATGCATTTCGATTCGGCTTTAACCGCTTAAATTGGTAGACATTGACGCGACTTCTCAATCATCGGATCAATAAATCGAATGATTGTTACATGCTGATCCAAACATTTTCTTTCGCGTGTTTTATGCCATTAATCTTATCACGAGTTGGACGAAAGAGTAAGCGCGTAGAATGTAAACATTATACTTGCCGCCTACAACTAGAAGAATAACCAGATCGAATTCGAATGCATATCATCACATTTAGTTTATCGATCAAGTATCTTACTCTGTTCTCTCTGTTTCTTGACTTTGTCCCTTCCCTTGTCAGCTCTCTCTCTCTCTCTCTCTCTCTCTCTCTCTCTCTCTCTCTCTCTCTCTCTCTCTCTCTCTCTACAATTTGTGCCTGAGAATTGAGATCACGGACTTAACAATTAAAGGTGGTACTGGACAGTACAAAACTGTTTTATTTTACAGTTTTGGGTTTGTTTGTTTGTTAAATATACTTGAGTGCAGCTTGTGATTCTCTCTGTTTTTCTGTGTCCTTTTCTGTTTTCAGCCACACAAAATATAATAACACAACAGCAGCCTTCTGCAGTGTTTCTACACTTATTTAGCAATCCCATGTGTTTTTTTTACTGCTACTTTCTGCAGACATGAATGGCCCTCCCTCAGTACCAACCCAAAATTCCATCTACCCCTATCTTTTATCTTTTGCTTTCAAATTTCAATCCTTCCTTTCCCATCAGACTCAAGAAAAACAGTTAAGATTCTTAACCCATGTTCCCTTCCCTTTTTACCTCCCTCAAAATGACTACTTTGAGAGGTTCTTTGTTTGAAATTCAGTCATTCTGCTGGAAGGATCCTAGTAGGATGTATGGTGACATGTTGGATTGTCCTTTCAAACATTTTTTTTTTTTGTTAGTGTATCACACAATTCAACGATCGGAAACGAACGAGGAGGCGATCGATGCCATCCACATGATCTGAATCCGACCAGCAGCCTATTCAACCACTATAGATCAATAGATAGTGTATTAAACCAGCACACGAGAACAAAATCGATCCGAACACGAACTAGGATAAACAGCCATGAGTTGCCTACAATTCTTTCCCAACTTCGTAGTTAGACACTAAACCGTTAGAATCACCGGGTTTGAAACGCCAAAGCACTCAGTTTAGAACTTGAAAGCTCCAGCTAACCATCTAGCATCTGTTAGTCCTAATCCCTAATCACTTTTTGAAAATTCAGGACAGAAAATGAGTCCAATTATGCAAGGCGGGCTAAGCTGTCTTAATAACTCTTTTTGGCCCCAAATTGCTTTCAACATTCTCTGCTTTTTTCAATCCTTCAAAACACTTTTTTTCAAATTGCAGACCAATTATACAAAGCTAAGCTGTCTTTGTACCTCTTTGTCGTCCCAAATTGCTTTCAGCATTCTCTATTGCTTGTTCGAAATCCAGAGGTTATCCATATACTTTGGTACTTCAATCTTTATCTAATCTCCTTGTGTGACAACTAAGACTGTGAGCCCTTTAATCCATCCATGAGGTCAGCCTCTCTTTCCTGGGTCGTTTCTGTCACATATTGAATAATGGGTTTCAGACAACTGAATGCCGGCTGGCTAACTAGTTATATATTATCTCAGCATTTATAGCACACCATAATGTGAGAGGAAGCAACTAAGAAACAAAAAGGAATCAACATTCACAAAGACTGTTCATCAAATGACCTTATGCAGCCAGACCAGAACTCTACAATGGAGAAAACAAATGGATATGGGATGAAACAGACACAACAACAACCATACAAGTCATCCTTAATTATATCCAGAAGAGCGATGTTGGCTGCCACTTGCAAGAGATTTAAAAGAAAAAACCCAAAGTGTCAACAATTGCAGGCTAGACTTGCCATGTGGTCCAAAATCCAAATCACAAAACAAAATGAACACCAACAAAAATCTGCAGAATGAAATAAAAACTGCTTAAAATGAGCACCACTGGTATCAATATCATTAATTCATTCTCACTCTCGAGCACTGTGGCTCCATCTCAGAAACAGACTTGCAGGCCTCCATGTTCTGAGGCTGAGAAGATTGATCTGCAAATACCCTAAAAGATTTAAAGCTTTGATATGTTTCTGTCATCTTTATTTTTTGTTTTTCCTCACTACAAGTCCCTGTGTGAGTGCCCCCACAAATATGCTTATATATTCAATGCCTACATCATTTTCTCTGGATATTGTTGGCCTTCTGCAATAGATTCACCAAAATGACACCAATACTTAACCATAGTTACTGTTATCCATAAGAATCATCTAAGTTCTGAAGGGTTCACCAACTGAGAGGCAAACCATTAACATGCCATTTCCAATCATGTACTGCAAAGACAATAAGTAGTATATTGACAAAATTCTATCCCCAGGTACTCAAGAGATGCATGTAGTCCTAGTACCATGACAACGACGCGGGAAATAATCAGTTCCTATTGCTTATACAGCTAAGAGTACGATTAACAGTGTCGACGAAAAATTACCCTGATGGTCCTTGTCTTGAAGAAAGGCTCTACCTTTCCCACGTTAAGTGAATCAGATTGACTGCAGGAATAGACAACGAATGAATGTAGTAGGAGGGGGACTGGAAAGGCCCACCATTTCTCACAGAAATGAGTTGTGCTGCTGAGCCCAGAGGAAGCTGAGGTATTTCCCCTCCATTATAGTTGGAAAGAGACCCTCCTGCCATTTTTCCCCTTCAGCACATGAAGGCCATGTTACCTTTGCCTGCAAAGGACAACTTTGTAAGGAGCATGCAATTTCAGTTTCAACTACCTTCAAATAGCAAGAAATTCTCAACTACCCATATTTCCCTATTTCCAAACTGTAACTTCCTACTTCAAAATGGGAGGAGACCTGTCAAGATATTTTTTCCTAGATTCTCTTTCATCCCCTCATTGCAGTTGTCCTGCCCACTTAGTTCGTACTAGACATTGAGGTCCCATAATCATTGCACTGAGAGATGAAGCTAAGAGATCATTAATGCATGACCTTGTACTGTTATTCCTCTTTTTATTTTTATTTTCTCTTAATCTGCTTTCCAAAAACCAGAGTCTTATAGCTTGATAGTAATTCAACAGAAGTTGTGACCAAGAAATTCTTCCTACAATCAACTCACTACGGTGATGACTTGACAGTGTAAAGAGAGAAAAACTAAACCATGAACTCACATGGGGATGTAAGGATGCTAGTCAGAAGAAACACCGGAAAGGGGTCCAAGACTGCAAATTGCCAGGTAAGAACAAACTTAACATCGTTCTATCAATCGGGTCTTCAGTCTTCTTAGGTGGGTTTCAATTATTATGCCATGAGAAACAATTAAGATGATGTCAATCGAACAACATTAATAATGAGATTAGGACATCCACAAGAAAATGCCTGGAGGAAGAAAGATAGTGGTTTAGGTAGCTTCATAAAGGAAGAATCAACACAGACGTATAGAGATATACATGAAGAAGGGCCCTTTTGTATATTATACTAACAAATACTAGAGAGAGTCAAATATAAGTTGTTGTAGCATACCTGGTTTGAGCCAAAGGGGGGGCAAGGGTGACAACGGTGTTGAAATGACCATGACAATACCTTCAGGACCCCATTCCAAAGCGTCACAAGTACTTGTTATGAGTACTCAAGAAGGGCCCTAATGTATAATTACACTACTGGTGATGTTGCTTCCATAGGATCACCTCGACATAAGAACATGAAGCCTGTAAAAAGGTTAAAACACACTATCTGTGCAAAGCTGACAACAATCACCCTCTGCACAGCAATAATATTGAGGTGGAAAAGGTGCCTCAGTCAACAATTTTCTACCCACGAACGTGAATCTGACGACCCAAAAATTGCAGATGGTGATCTCTTTACTTCATCATCTGTGTATTCTGATATTAATAGAAATTCTTGGTACTTTGGCTTGTAATTTTATGTTAAATCGTAAAGCAACAAGTCTGTTCTTCTGATAGGCCTGAAGATGTAGCAAACTGGAACAAGAATATTAACTAAAAGCATTATCTAGCCTCATCCTGCATCGATACCTCACTCAATTCAGTGTGCCAAGTCCAAGGTGTAACATCAACGTCAAGCATCCATGTGTGAAAACACGATCTAGAAATACAACTAAGCAGTTACAGGAGCTGCAGTGAATTCAATATTTTCAATTAATGATGACATGATACATTGCACATTGCTGCTCTTTCTTAGTGTACAGAACGACATTTATAATTATCCATGGATTCCAGGCAGAGGACCAGACGTGAGCTGGTAAGAACTTGAGGATAAAAGAGGTAGCAGGTGAATGACAAAGCTCGATAATACATTAGCTTACTGGTCCAACTATTCTGCTGCAAAACTCTTAACTCTTTGCCGGGGAAACAATGCACATTAGCTTATAGGATTGCATATTTCTGCGCATATATGGTGAATTACTGGTCGGAAGAAGGTTTCAACTGTTGCTGCTGCCCTTCAATCACGGTTATCTGTCGTCTGAGTTTTGCAATATGAGTTTGCACCTGACACATTGGACCTGAACTGTGTCAATACATCGAATTGATGCATTTCCTGGACGAAAATGATTTTTTGCAATTTATGATGCCGTGCAAAACTAGAGCAGATGAAGGCAACATAAGGAACAGAACAGTAACCTATATGCATGGAAATCATACATCAATATTATTCCAATTTGGAATGCAGAAATTTGTAACTAAGGTTCAAAATTAATCAACCGGCAAACGAGAGGATGTTCCATCCAAACATATGAAGGAATTATGCATCAATAGTAAAATGTTCTGTAACCAGAATTGGAACACTTCTGATTAATGTTTTAACATGATGCTGCATTGCTGCTCTGGTATCATGCAGGTATTAAATGTGCTATCGTTGCACGCAACGACCTTGATAGCGATAATGTGAAAATCAAATATATAAAGATAGATCAAGAAATCAAGTAGTTAAGATGGACAACATTACGAGAATTCGACAAGGGCATGGTTAGCACTTAACAGATGCACGAAAATCTGTTGAAGGATGTGACAGTAACTTGGATATGCTATTATGGTTAATGATTGTCCACACATGGGAACAATTGATAATGAAACTAAGTGATAAAAAATCTGACCTGTTGGCGAGCTGCAGCAAGTTGTAATAGCTCATCTGCTTCAGAAAAATTCGTGAACCATTGGCTTAACGGATGGTCCTTAGTGTCGCCTCTCTTCCTTTCACTTGGGTCTTCAGCTACCACCATAAACACATGAAAACTGAAGTTATTGAACACAAAACATTAAGACTGAAATTGAAGTAACTTGGCTAAAAGACATACCAGGAGTAGGGAAAGTTAAACCAACAGGCAATCTAGGCACGTTCACGGCAGGATGATTCTGCACTCGAGCTAAAAAGCTCTCTGAAGGCTCAGGGAAAACAATCTCATCATAGGATTCTACTACGACTGGCTTCTTGATTGACAAGGAAGTAGACTCATCTTCTGGGTACAACTTCAATTGATGATATCTGTGAATAACTTAAACCCCTCAGAAAACCCAGTTGAAAGATAACAGAAATGTAAGGTATAACATCCTAAAACCAAGTTGGATTATTTGACACCACAAATAAACAAGTGGGAAAGCATCTCCATTTCTTATTTGCTTCAGGTGTTGTAGTAATTAAAAGTACGGACTACAAGCTTCTCCACAGAAACAGATTGCAATTGGCTGATAAATTAACAAAAAACACAGTTGTACATTCGACATATGTTGTATAACTTAGAGGAGAAAGAACAGAAATGAAACAGGAATTGGGGAAAGGAGCTCACAAGCTTAGAGGCTTCTCACAAACATCACTGTGGAAGTGAAGTGTTATAGCTATCTCAAATTCTCCCCATCCTTGCTCTGATAGCTCAAAAGGCGGCGATTCAACAACTCTTGTTGGATTGTTGAAGCTAGAGTGAAGCTGGAAAACAACCTTCTTTATCACTCCTCTGGTGTCCTCGTTAGTAGCCCCTCGTACATAGACTGTCCACTTGTGAGATTGATACCTGATAAAAAAATTAAATAATGTTAATCTAATTTTTTCAATATGTGAAAACAGAATGGCAAACTAAACAACTGATTTGAGCATGGCTCCAGCAAAAATACTTACTCATTTGCTTTTTTACCAAGCCAGAATGCTATATTGCCATAAACGATTGGAACACTTATCTCAACATCTTTGAACTTCTTGCTCAAATTCTGGAAACAAATTAGAGGGGAAACAAAACTTAGTTATAACATCACTATCAAGAAAAATCAGAAAATCTGAGAACAAATTCTTGTAATTTCTTGCAATTTATGAGTCGCTGTCAATACAGATCCTTTCCATGCTAGTAATAAACCCACATGACACTGCTCGTATTTTTGAAGAAATGAGCGACTTTCAGCATCAATACGAAGAAAAGTTACCTTCTTTTCTGCGTCTTCAGGCTTGCTGAGCTTGGTTTTCAGGGATTTGAGTACAGGGCCACTGGTTTCAGGCTGATCTTGCTCGTTCCTTTTCGGCGACGAGCTGTTTGTCATGGCGATTCCTCCGCTTGTGATTCTCGGAAATTAGGGCTTTGCTCCGTTCAACGGGAATCTTTCTGGTTAGGGCTTTAGAACTCGAGTTGGGATAGGATGGGTGTAGAACACGGTAGTTTCCTACCGGGAAAAAAAAAATCTTCCAGGGACTTGAATAGAAAGTATCGGAATTCATGAGAGTGAACCAACAAAACTTACTGAATTCAATGTCTAATTTGATAATTCATGCAAAACACAGAAAGTGGCAGCGTTTTGATTTTGTAGAGGAGAGGAAGATCGAGTTGAAGCTTAAACCAGTGGTGCAAAAGGGAAAGGAGGATTTTGCTGTCTCGCCGTGGCGCCAACTACCACCGCCTCCTTCACCGCCGTTGGCCAGCCGGACCGCCGTCAACAATTGAAACAGAGAAAAGCAAGAAATTCAAATTCCAAAGAAGAAACAGAAGCGAACTGGTGCAAGACTCATCTGCTTTCGAAGCTGATTATTCGGTAACAATAAACAAACTTCCATCTTTTCTCTTTCCTTTACCATGATTGCTTCGTGATAGAATCGAAATTGGTTGAGCGCCCGCACAGCATTCACATCTGAATGTAATGTTTTTTGGGCGATTCGAATCGTCGTGATAGAATCGAAATTGGGGATTTTGGTTGCTGTGGGAAACTGGAGAAATGGCTGTGAGACAAAGAGCAGTGACCGCTTTACCAAAGCTGATAGAAAGTCTGCGAAAGGAATGCCCTAGGTCTTCACCGCTAATCTCAACGCCTAATCAAGCTATGGTGTTGCCGTCTCTCAGGCGGGCATTCTCTCTTTATGATCAGATCAATCTCATTGACAATGTCCCAGAAGACCAACTGCGGTTCCAGCGGTAATGCAAATGATGCTTCACATTTTTCTTGGTTTCCTTGTAGAATCATTTCCTTACTGACAATTGCATCTCCAAGCTTTCCAGTTATACGGATACTGGGTTCACGGTGAATGGGGTTCATTATGAAGGGAGCTTACTTTGCATTGGCAACTTGCTTATGTCATGGACCCCCAAATCATTCTCCCAAATCACTCCAGAGAGGTCATTTCCAGAATCTCTTATCTCTCCTAGCTTTCGGTTTTCAGGGACGAGGTTTTGCTACTTGTTTATCTATACCTGGCGTATCCATTCAGTTATTGATTGTTCGGTTGGTATTCTGTAGCTAAAGGCGCCACAGAAAGTTGTGCTTCTTGAGTTTTTAATTGCTTAACTGATTAACTAATTTGTTCGCTATATCTGAAATTGGATCTGTCCTGTGCTTGTAAACTACAGTTTATCCATCTTCAAGATTCTACGCCCTGTACCAGGTTAGAGCTTAAACTCCAGCAGATTCTTGAGTTCATATGTTTGGTCTCTTCAATCACAAGCTAGCATGTTGTATTTCTTAGTCATGATATGAACAAATCGTATGATCCTCAAAGCAGTATATGACATGGTCAACTAAAAAATATGTATGATCTATGTGATTGTTTGTGCTGAGTGCAATAGCTTCACACTTACAGTAGTTAGCATGGGTCTGCTAGAGTTTTAATTATAGGATTCTTATGTGATTGTATGTGATATGTGCAATAACTTCGCAGTTATAGTAAATTCCACTTTCCTCTGCAACACCTGGATAGAATAGATTGCTGCCATGTGTAGCGTATTCGGTTAGTGATGTGGTCTGATAAAGAATTGCTAATAGCGGAGAGTTGCAGCCAGTTTTCACCAAAATCATGGTAGGACTCTTTTGTCACTGTAAGGTGAACCATTGTAGAATCATGTAAGTTTAGGTCTTGGGAGCAAGTTTCATTCCAAGTAAATTACTTTTCCCTTGGGCCATCTTGCTCCAAGTTATGCACTCTCCTGGTAGTACACATGCCCTTTTTTCCATCCCAGGTGAGTTCGTGCAGGACATATAGACAAACAAAATCTATCCTCTGATGCCAGATGGGGTTTATACATCTTTAGAGTTTCCTTACTAATGGAAATTGACAAGCATACCTTGCGAAAATATCTTTGGTCATGTTAAAACTTACAAGAAGTCAGAACTCAGAAGTCATCCGTACTCATGTTAGATGGCCGAGTATACCCGTCCTGGTACTTCTTGTGTGTGCTGTTGTTAGTCTATTCCTTTAATTCTCATGTGTGGCTTGTTTCAGAGATTTTGATTCTTGGATGTGGAAGATACATTCAGCCTGTAGATCCTGAACTCAGGCGCTTTGTCCGGTCCACAGGCATGAAGCTGGAACCAGTTGATTCGGTACTGCCCTGATTATATAAACTTGGATATCGTTAATCAATGCTTTTAACAAGGGAAGATGATTAGACATCTGTTTAAGCAACGGTGTATTATCTCCTTAAATCTGTCGGAATCACTGGTAGCTTAACGAATTGAATGCTTTCATAATAAACGATCCGACTTATCTGTCATCCTATGAGACATTATCAGCTTGTTCCTGTTCTGCAACTTCTCTTCTTATGCACTGCTATTATATTGGTGCAGAGGAATGCCTCTTCTACATACAACATACTGAATGAGGAAGGAAGAATGGTGGCCCTTGCACTTCTCCCATACGGAGTTTCTTCGTGAGGCCTTGGCAGCCCCAGTCCTCATATTGGAGTGGCCTCCCTTTGTTACGGTTTCCTTGACCGCTTAAGCAAAGGTCAAGTTTTCAATTCGTAAGCATGTACATTGGACGAATTCGGGACACTTGCTGTGAGTGAGTAAGGACGAATGGTGTCTGTTATGATGACCAACAATAGATGTGAGATTTGACTGTAGAAGGTTTCTGGCTCACTCTTTGTAAGAATTCTAATAAACTAACAGGGGAATGTTCTTGAAGCCATGAATTTGCTTGCACTGGTGTATCAAATATTTAACGTTCTTGTTTGTTTAGTCATGTTAAAGAATAGTAATGGGAGCATCGATTTGTCATCTCAGGAGGCCGTGATTGTATTCCTTCTCGAGCAAGTAAATTTTGTTTTGGGACTAAAACGGAAAAGGAGGAGATGCCACTTTCAGATGGTTTTCTTGTTCAGCAAGCAAGTGACTTGGCACTTGGCTATAGGCTTGCTCATGAACTATGTCCTACTATCATCCATCAGGAAGAAAGAATACATGGTAATACGAAATAAGAAAGTAACAATGAAAAACTAGTTTTTAGGGAGAAAAATATGATCATGGTATACAAATTGAGAAAACAACAATCAGGAATTATAAATTCATTTAATGATTTCAACAATTACTTAAAGCTCTAATGATCTAGATGTAAAAAAATCAAAATCTTAAGGGTGGTGAACAAAAAATAAAATCTTAAAATATATTAAAGCGCTTTTAGAAAAGTGCCTCTGCCACGTACGCCTTTAAGCACAGCCCGCAATTCTCGGACTTTAATATTTTTATTAACTTTTAAACTTTTAATGGCTGCAATTGGTAGGCGGTGGTTATCCATTTTTTTCGTTCAATTTTTCAGACGTGTTTTTTTTATTAAGAATGGGGTGTATGTTCTTTTTCTAAAGTTGGATGTACTTTTTATTCTACCAAAAACTCTGCCTCATGGATTGAATTCAGATATAAGTATAACAAAATCCCTTTCCTTTAGAAAAGAGTATATCAACGATAAAGTATCTTAACCATAAAAACATAGCAAAATTTCATTTCAAATGAATAAAAATTAATACATTTATCAGAATTTCAATTTAAATTAATTTAATACAATTTAAATTAATTTTCAAATGACATTTAGTTTATACTCACCTAAATTCAAAATATATATGTTGGGCATGCGACTCGGACCTAGACGCGCCAGAGGAACGCACCAACGCTACCCCAAATGTGCCAAACCCTGCGGGACGCGATGCGACCGAAGACTCCCAGCGCGAAGATCCCAGAGCGGTTCAGCGCGAAGCCCTTGAGCGTGACGTTGTGAAGGCAGACTAGCGCGAAGATCTCGAACGCGACACAGGCTACGCGCACGCGGAAGGATCAAGGCGTTAACCAGACCAAAGAGCCGCAGAAAGCGTCGTCTCGCTTCCCGAGGAGTAGTCACATCAGAACCCTAAGCACAGTCATAGGTAGGCCTCTGACATGTCCTAGGTATAAGCATGGTCTAAATCCCTGACATGTCAGTGGTCATGTCATTGTCCCCACATGTAACTCAACCACTCACCCACCACCATGTAGCCTATAAATAGGGCATTTACTCCGGTGGGTGAGAGGATGAGATTTTTCGGACTCTATCTCTAGAATCATCGACTTCTCTCTCTAAAATATTTCTCTCTCAATTCTCTTTGTAATCTCCTCAGTTCTTCCATCGACGATTATTCCCTCATTGCTTACTCTCCTTGACCCATTTTTTCGAGCCTCCCTCCTACACCCAGTTAGGCTCAAACAATTGGCGCCCACCGTGGGGTCAAGTAGAGAAGCAAGAAAAACCGACCTATGGCAAAGCATAACTCCAACTCACCTGACAAATCAACCCCCATCAAAGCGATGACCAACCCAAAAGAATTCGCGGAAGCTAGCAATCTCAACGTAGTGCTCCTGGAAGAGGAAGAGCCCGAGCTCACAGCCAAGGAAATGAGACAGCTGATGGCGAAGCAGAACGACATCATAGCTAACATGCAGAAACAAATGAGCCAGGTCATAGCGCTCATGATGAGCAAAGAGGCCGCGGCAACAGCTGGCGCGACACCATCCGCGCCCCAACAAGTCCCAGGAGAAGCGTCGGGGACTGCCCTACCACCGCACCCCGCGCACGAAACGCAACAAGTCGAGCTCACAGTATGCGCGACACCAGTCGCGCCCCAACAAGCCCCAGGAGAAACGTCGGGGACGGTCCCACCACCGCACCCCGCGTACGAAACACAACAAGCTGAGCTGCCAGGAAGGGCGGACCTCAGTTTTCTGGAGCAACACCTGTCTCCGCAATACCGACTCAACCCACCCAAGAGGGCGCTCCACCAGCCGCTAAGCCCGGAAATCATGGCGGAACACCTGAGCAGAATGCCACCCGCCCTCCCAACATACAACGGGACGACTGATCCCGAAGACCACGTGAGCACCTTCTGCCTGCGGATGCAGCTCCAAACCAACTCCAACGCGGCGCTATGCCGAACCTTCCCATCAACATTCTCCGGGATATGCCTAGACTGGTATAACAGGCTCCCGAACGGGATCATCCGCTCATTTGAGGAGTTCATACTCCTATTCACGACGAAGTTTGCATCCCAAAAAAGAAGGCCCCTCCACCTCAAGGCGCTAGTAGACCTCAGGCAAAAGGACGGGGAAAGCCTACGATCATTTTACGCCAGATGGTCCAGGGTGGCGATGGCAGTGCGTGACCTTACCCCCGAAACCGCCGCTCATCACCTGATGGAAGCCACCACCAACATGGAACTCAAGCGGGAGCTAGCAAAGAGGCCCGTAATTCTATCAACGGAGTTGGAGATGAAGATTGAGAAGGCAATTACGCTGGAAGAAACCCTCGGAGCGGGATCTGTTAGGCGCTTCGAGCCAGCCAAATTGCCACGAGAAGAGCAGGGACGTCGGCAGCTCACGCTGCCGCGAGATCAGCTAGCGCAGCTGCACAGCGGGCAAAAGCGCCATCCCCCTCCCCCACAAGAGCAAGCCCAGCGAGGAAGATCGCCAGACAGGCGCGCACCCCACGCTTTTACACCGCTCAATAGGGGTGAACAAACACACCCGCAAACCGACCCACCCGTCCAACCCGACCCAACCCACCCGTATTTATCGCTAAAACGAAGGTTTTGGGTTGGGTGAAGGTTTTCTTTTGTACAACCCGCCTCTTTTGGGTTGGGTTTGGATTTTGGATTACACAACCCGTAGAACCCGACCCAACCCGTGTTCCAACTATTAGTATGAGTTCGTATCTAAAAAATATTTGTGTCGTATATAGCAATACTTATGAGAAAATTAAGATATTTCGCCATGTTTTTCTATCATGGTCTCCCTAATCTAATGCATTCTTCGACTTAAAGTTTAGACATAAATTGAGTGTAGTTATGATTCACGTAATCCTTTTTCTTGTGTACAATTTTAATAGAATAACATATTATGGATGCGTTTGTTTATAACCTTTTTAGCCTATTTCAACAAATATCGTGAAAAAAACTAGACATATGTCGAAGTAAATCACATTTTATTAAAATTCAAACAACATTTTTGAATTTTGATAGCTTTCACCTCGGTTTATTCGTTTGAAATTTTAATTAGTTATAAAATATTTTTATGGTGTATAATAATTATATATTTTTATGTTGGGTTGGGTTTTTACTTAAAAATATCGTCAACCCGATCCAACCCAATTAGAAACAAACCGTAGGGTTTTAATTTTTTTGGGTGGGTTTGGATTTGATAATTTCCAAACCGTAGTGCATGGGTCGGGTGATTAAAATGGTTAAACCCGAACCACCCGACCCATGTACACCCTTACCGCTCAACGACTCTATGAAGAACGTGTTCCACGTTCTACACAAGAAGGGATACAAGCTCAATTGGCCCGCGCCTCTGAAGTCCTTGCTCCACATGCGGGACCCAAAAAAGCATTGTGACTTCCATAGAGCAACGGGGCACTGGACGGAAGATTGCCGAGAACTGCGCTACGAAATAGAAGGCCTCATACGACGAGGATTGCTGACCGAGTTCACACACGAAAAAGAGGAACAAGTTGGGGGGCCCCAAAACCCGCCACCACCCCCACAAGCCGACTACAACGAAGCCGCTGCATCATATGTTGTGCGAAAAGAAATAGGGGTGGTGACGGTGGAAGGAGATCGCCCGAAAAAGAAAATCAAGCGCGAACGAGCAATCGAATTCACAGCAGCGGATGTACAAACAGGGGGCCAACTAAGCTTCGACGACACCGAATTACCGCAAGGAATACCGTCTGAAGACCCGCTCATCATCACCGTCCTAGTGGCCGCTTGCAAAATTCACCGCCTACTGATAGACGGAGGTGCCGCGGCAGACTTCCTCTTCCAAAGCACTATCGACAAAATGGACATCGACCCGCGCCTAATCAAGCGCGCCCAAGGGAACCTGGTCGGCTTCTCTGGAGCGAGGGTTCCAGTAATTGGGGTGGTCACTCTTCCTGTTGTTATCGGTGACCAAGAGCCGCGCGTCTCAAAGCAAGTCGAGTTCACAATAGTCGACTGCAAATCATCCCACAACGGCATCTTGGGCTGACCCTTCCTAGCAAAATTCATGGCCCTTCCTTCCACATGCCACCAAAAGCTTAAGTTCCCCACTAAGATGAGAACCGGAGAGGCGCGCGGGACACCATGGGGAGCCCCGAAGCTAGAAGGAGAACCCCGGCAAACCAACATTGTCGACACAAGGCCAGAGGAGCCCCGTCCGGAATCAATGAATTCCGATTTCGAGGTCGCGCTCGACCCAACCGAGCCGACTAGGAAAATACGCATCTCGACTCACGTCCGCGACGACGCGATTGAGCCGCTGATAACGCTATTGAAGGAATACAATGAGCTATTTGCCTGGTGCACAGAAGACATGCCGGGGGTACCAAGGCATGTAGCCCAACATTGCCTCGCAGTCCCACCCAGCGCGCCTCCAAGGCAACAAGCGTGACGTGGCTTTACTGGCGACAAACTGAAGGCCATCGAAGAGGAGGTGGCGCGACTGTTGGCGGCAGGGTTGATCCGCCCGGTCAAATACCCGAAGTGGTTGGCGAATGTGGTCCTGGTGAAAAAATCTTCGGGGGCTTGGCGGATGTGCGTCGACTACACAACAATCAACAAGGTATGCCCAGGAGACCCTTACCCCTTGCCGCGCATTGACCAACTGATCGACGCCACCGTCGACCACGAGACACTATCTTTCTTGGACATGTTCTCAGGATACCACCAAATCCCGATGTCGCACGAGGATGAAGAAAAGACGGCGTTCATGACTCCCTTCGGAAACTTCTGTTTCGTCGGAATGCCGTTCGGACTGAAGAACGCGGGCGCGACATACCAAAGGATGATCGATTCGGTGTTCTCGCAACAGAGGAGGCGGAACATTGAGGCGTATGTGGATGACCTCATCGTCAAGACCAAGGCTGGCAACTCGCATCTGGAGGACCTGCGAGAGACTTTCGAGGCGCTCCGCAAACACAGCCTCCGCTTGAACCCACTGAAGTGCGTCTTTGGAGCCGAAGCAGGGAAGTTTTTGGGGTTCATGATAACCAAGCGCGGCATCGAAGTTGACCCAAAACAAATCACGGCGGTCCAACAACTACGGGCACCAAGGAGCGCATTGGAAATCCTTTCCCTGAATGGGAAAATAGCAGCGCTAGGGAGATTCATCCCAAGGTCAGCCGACAAGTGCGCGCCCTTCTTCAAGAAACTCAAAAGCGGCGCAAAGTTTGCATGGACCAAAGAGTGTGAAGCAGCCTTCCAAGAGCTGAAGGCATATCTTGTATCCCCTCCTGTGTTGACAGCTCCCAAGCTTAATGAAAAATTATTCCTTTATCTGGCCGTGTCGACGAGAGCTGTGAGCGCAGTTCTGATATCCAGAAGAAATGATAATACCGAGCAACCTATGTATTATACTTCACGCATGCTAGTCAGCGCAGAAACAAGATACTCCCCAATAGAGAAAGTGGCCCTGGCATTAGTGAGTGCGTCGCAGAAGTTGCGTCCCTATTTCCAAGCGCACCAGATCACTGTCCTGACCAACCTCCCACTAAAGAAAATCCTAACTTCGATGGAAGTATCAGGGCGCATAGTGAAATGGGCGGTCGAACTCTCAGAGTACGATATCCAATATGCGCCGAGACCAGCAATAAAAGCCCAAATCCTAGCAGACTTCATCGCTGAAGGAGTCACCCTCGAAACAACACCAGAAGGGGTATGGGAAGTTTATGTCGACGGAGCGGCAAGTAAACACGGTGCAAGCGCGGGGGTCGTCGTGCGCACACCAACAGGCGTCGTTCACGAGATAGCAATCAGATTCAGAGCGTTGAAGACGAATAACGCGGCCGAGTACGAGGCCATCCTGGCAGGAATGACCGCCGCCCACGAGTTGGGCGCAAGAACAATAAGGGTACTTTCCGACTCCTCGCTGGCAGTCAACCAACTGAACGGAGCCTTTGATGCAAAGGAAGACACCCTAGCGCATTACATGGAGCGTGTCAAGCTGCGAGCAGCCACCTTCGAGGCGGTAACTTATGTGCAAATACCGAGAGAGGAAAACGTGCACGTTGACGCGCTATCCAAGCTAGCGACCGCCACCGACTTCGAGACGACTCGTCTCGTGTCGGTACAGAAGGAAGAGGAGGAAAGTCGCCAAGAAGTGGCGATTAATACCACCCAACTCACGAGCGATGAAGACTGGAGAGCCCTAATTGTGCGGTACCTACAAGAAGGTACGATACCGGAGGACGCTAAAGAGGCATGGACTTTGAGGCAAAAAGCGGCCCGATGTACACTCATTGAAGGAGAACTGTACCGGCGGTCGTTCTCGGGCGTCTACCTAAAGTGCATCGGACAAGAAGAGGCGCGCGACATGGTGCGCGACCTACATGAAGGGTCGTGCGCAATGCACACCGGCCCACGCAGCATGGAGCGCACCATTTTGCTGCACGGATACTACTGGCCGCGAATAAAAAAGGACACGAAGAAATACGCGGACCAGTGCCACAAGTGCCAAGTCAACGCGCGCCAGCACCACCTCCCATCCATCGAGCTCCAAGCCAACCTGAGTCCATGGCCTTTCGCGCAATGGAGAGTGGATCTCTTGGGCCCCTTCCCAACAGCAAAAGGGAAGCGCAAATACATTATTGTGGCCGTAGACTACTTCACCAAATGGATCGAAGCTGAAGCACTAGCCTCGATAACGACACAACAGGTGACGCGCTTCCTAAAGAACAACATTTTCTCGCGCTTCGGGGTCCCGAACGCGCTCATCTTTGATCACGGGAAGCAGTTTGACTGCTCAGAAGTGATTGACTTCTGCAACCAAGTGGGAACCATCGCAAGGTTCGCATCGGTAGCTTATCCCCAGGCCAATGGCCAAGTGGAATCCGCCAACAAAGCAATCCTGCACGACCTGCACACCCGCTTAAACGACGCCAAAGGTAATTGGACTGACGAGCTCAACACAGTGCTATGGGCGCACCGCACCACATACAAAGTGGCAATGGGCGAAACTCCTTTCGCCCTTACATATGGCACCGATGCAGTAATTCTCATAGAGACAACGGCCCCGACCTATCGAATCACGAAGTACAGCGAAGAAACCAACGATGAAGCGCGTTTGCTGGAGCTGGAATTGTCACAGGAAAGGCGCGAGTTGGCAGCAATCAGGTTGGCCGCACTGAAAGAGCAGGTAGCCAAGTACCACAACGCGAAGCTGGTTCCACATAAGTTGATCCTCGGCGACCAAGTACTGCGACGGAACTTCCGCCCCGACCCCAAGCACGGAAAGCTCGCCTCAGTGTGGGAAGGTCCATACCTAATCCGTGAGGTGGTCGGTGCCAACACCTTCAAACTCAGCGAGTTGGGGGGCAACAAGATACAAAGGACGTGGAACGCGCAACACTTAAGGAAATATCACCGAGCAACTTAAATATGTATTTTTCTTGCTATCGCGCTTTGCCGCAAAGAAATGGAAAGGAGTCAGTTCGCAAGAACAAAAAAGTAGCAATAGTCCAACACTATTCGCGCTCGCTCAGTTCGCAAGAACAAAAAATTAGCAATAGTCCAGCACTATTCGCGCCCACTCAGTTCGCAAGAACAAAAATTAGCAATAGTTCAGCACTATTCGCACTCACTCAGTTCACAAGAACAAAAAGTTAGCAATAGTCCCGCGCTATTCGCGCCCACTTAGTTCGCAAGAACAGAAAGTAGCAATAGTCACGCACTATTTGCGCCCACACAGTTCGAAAGAAATCGAATGAACGCATTAACAAGTAAACACCACAAACGAGGACCCTTTGGATTGAGTTAAGCGAGAGCGTCAACATTGTTCACAATAAACTCGAAAAAGATAACAAGGAAACATATCAGCGCGATAACACTTGAGCACACTTAAGCACCATCAGTGTCAGGATGGACA